ACCATGCATACCGCGGTTTCCTTCGCAAAGGTGGGAAAAAGGAAGACTGGGGACAGGAAGCTGAGACGGATGAGCGACAAAATATGTGGAAGCGGTGGCAAGAAAGCGAATGGGGCGGATCCTTGAGACGTCACAAAAAGGACGCTGGCACTACCACGCAACGTTGGGTAGGAGGAAGCTTCGAAATCGGAAATGTTTTAGGTGTAAACATTCTCGACAGCCCCACGATATCGCTTCCACAGGCTGATCAGACTTGTCCCGAAGCTCAAACTGATGTCCCCTCCCCAACCGAGCCCCCTTCTACGGTCGGCTATCAAACGTTTGTCACAGCTAGGACAGGGCTTCCTCCTAGCGCAATTCTTGACTCTCAAGCATCCATATCTCCTCCCCCGAGTCCCGAGCCCTCTTCTAGCGCAGGTCTTTTTACTACTGGCATGGCTCCCGAGCATGGATCCTCCGCTAACGACATTAGTGTTGCACCCCCAGAGGGCTCTCAACGACCTACTATTCTAAAGGGAAAGAAGTCTTCGGCACACACGAATGCAAATAAACGAAAAACATTATTCTTCGTTGGTGGTCATGTAACCACTCCAACAGGCTCGGACTCCCAGCTCGCACCAGTTGGCTTGGACAAGGGGAAGGGGAAGGATACAAGCTTTTATCATGCTAACGAGGGGACTTCCTCAAACTTGCAGCTCTCAACTGATGTCAACGATATCCCCGAATCTCCTGCGGCTGTCCTTGCAAGAAGTGGAAGTGAAGTACATGAAACTAGCGCAGGAGTTGCCTTGGAGACAACCTCACGCGAACAATCACAGATAAAACAGCGGGAAAATACCGTACTCCGAGGTCAGTATCTTGAATTTTGTCATTAGAAGGCGTCCATTGATATACAGTTCAATCTCCATAGACCGAATGCTCGTCAGAGTTAGCTACACAAAATCCGATTCACTTCCTTACCACTTTGATGAAGTCCAGAATCGTGCGACTCCTCATCTTAGATACGAGGATTGGGCTGAATTTCTGGTGGTCTGGCGCGGAGAGCGGATTGAGATCTACGAAGACTATGTGAGCCTATTTTTCCAACCTGCTGAGCTATGATGTGTATCCCATCAGACCTTGCCTGGGAAAGAGCACATCACTGGACATAAACATCTCGCATTCATAATACCCCTCAAATCTCAACGAACACATTTAACCTTTTATTCCTTCACCGACTTCACTTTCTGTATTTCGTGTCCGCGCGCGCCAGTCCGTAACAACCATCCGAAAGCCAAAGCTCTATTTGACCGCGGACGAGAAGGGACTAATGTGTTCATTTTCAAGCCGAAGTGTCGTACAAGGGCTATGGACTGGTGCTGGCAGTTATGGTCAGTACGAAATACTCAGGACACAGCTTTTGATCGAGCAGTCATTACAGGCGACATCTGGGTGGTAAAATACCCGCTTCTATTGAGCTCAGGTGCCCGGCCATCGGTATACGCTTTGATTTGGATGTTCCTGCCTTCGACGAAGTTAGTATTGACAAGGCCTATCACATGTTCAGCCGGAGAAATATTACCGATGCTGTCCGGAAGTCCATGGCTTCATCTTGCGGCTCCCACGAGGTTGCATCTCGTGACTGGAATCATGTAGTAGAACGTAAAATTGCGGCAGGCACAACCCTCCAGTTAGCGTGGAACTTGGGGGCAAAACTTGACTGGGTTTGGAAGGAGGAAGACGTGATGGGCCAGCCTAGACCGTGGGCTGTCCTCTGTGGGTTGGCGATGCAACAGGTGAACATGATGTGAGACTCCTGACATATGATTCAGCTGACGTCCTGCTCAGGGAACCAAACCAGCGCACCTTGAGCTTAGGCTTGGACAACACTATCCGGCTACAATTCACCTACCCGATGGGACAAAGGTACACGAACCTCCATGTATAGAGGGGTATCTCGATCGCATCAAACCCAGCAGTCAAGGTAAACAACATATTTACCTTACTTCGCATGACGGCCACCTTTTTACCCTTTGGCCCTCGAATTCTCACGCTCCTGTCCCTCCGAACGTTCATTTATCTCGTGCCCTATCGTCACACCATAATGAATCACTAGAATACACTCGAGCTTTTCGTGAGGCCGAGGTCACACGAGGGGCATCTCAAATTGCAGCCGCATTTGAAGCTTTTGACCTGCGGAATATTAGGCAGATCCGCAGGGCGACCCATGAAACCACCAATCATGATGCTAGGACCCATGCCACGGCTACTGTAGCTGGTGGATCTGTGGGAAACCAAGATATTTTAACTACTGACGAGGCTGACATCGGTGGAGCCGAGGGTCTTGCGCAGGCTCAGGATAAGAATCGGCTGCGTGTCAGACGCTGCTTCGAAATCGTCATGATATCTGGGCGCGTGATCCGATTCGAAGTAAGAATATTTGGAGTAATTTGGTTCCTTGTTTGATTCTCTTTTTAGGCATATTCTTGCCAAACGGGTCAAGAATGGATCGACCGACTACGCGCACTTGTCGAATACTGGACACAGCGACATCATACTGATGCTCGAGATGAGATGAACATATCTTACTCTACACGCCATCGTCCCCCCGTCACTCCACGTGTTACTAAGCATGCGTGCTGTAATGGGGAGACAATTCCAACAGCACCCGTTGTAGATGCTGAATTTATGCCTGAACTGAGCTCATTGTATCATTGGTGCACGCTGGACAGCTGTAGAAGCTTACTCAAGAGTGGCCGCGCATTCATACGAAAAGGGTTCCGGGGACAGTACAAGTCAGTGATCGCCCGTAATGACAGGTCGCGAACTTACGCCTTTCCATAATGGCAGGCTCGTGCAGTTGTTCCTAGTCGCTGGACGTCTCCTCCAATACCATGTCTCGCGGAATTCATTTCTCCGTCATAAGAGCAAGGAGATCAATCTAATGGATTCTTATGTTTGTTCAGGGTATTTGGCTGCTCTTGCCTTGCAGCCAGGCGAGTATCACCCTGAAACTCCCAGTGCTCCCCGTCGTTACTTTGACGGATTTGAAGCCGATGATCCAGAAGAGGATATGCTCTTTGCTATCTGGTACCGCAAAAGTAGGGACGGAGCTGCGGACAACGTGCCTTCCCTCTCGGCAAAGCACAAGGTTATTGTGTTCAGGATGAGAAGCAGGGTTGAAAGGGATGCATGGTGTTGGGCACTAGGGTGCGAAATCGAGAAGCTCGTTAGGGCAAACAAAGAAAGGGAATCGAAACTGAGAGACGCCGGAGGGCTTGTGGAAATGTCTGTTTTCGAAGACTGAACATCGCACTACAGACTGTATATCGCACTCATATATCATGATGCCGTAGGCCATGCTTGTCAGGAAAACCCTTTCATTAGGATCCCTAATCAGTATAAGCTAAGTAAAGCCAGGCCAAGATTAGTTGCAGAGAAGCTGATTTACTCTATCACTTCATCATCGTCAACGTCACTGTCATCTTCATCCCGCTGAGCCCTTCTTGCAGCAAGTTTGGCCCGTTTTTCGAGACTACTGTCGGCAACCAGCATAGCTATAGTGAGCTTTTGACTGCAGCCTGCGGCAGGGCACGACTTTCCAGAAGGAGGGCCTTTATTTATGTATTCCCGGATAGCATCTCCAGAGAAGGCGTGGCCACAAGTGGAGCTGCAAAAGTTGGGTTAAATAGAACAAGTCCAATATGAATTCACTTACGATTTCAGGGGATTCACCAGCATCGTCAAGGTGATGGGACATTTGAAGTCTTGTGTGACTCCTCCAATCTCTAAATCATCGTCGTCGTCACTTTCATCACCCTCCTCTGAAGACCTTTGTCAGAATCCGTTACACGCAAGATGCAGAAACAATAACCTCGTGGTATAAAGTCATTAATGGGAGGTATGTTCTCGCCAGGATTCTGGACCTCCTATTTGAGAGGGTGAGTTGATGAGGCCAGTGAACCGTATATTAACGGACAACGTACAAAAATGCCTTGCTTGAACTGAACGTATTGATCGTTCAAGCCATACTTCTTCCGAGACGTTCTATCGTTGAATTCATCAATCCTCTTCTTCACCTCTTTTTCATAGAGCTCTACGGCACCCTCCTGTTTGAGGCGTCAATATCCCCAGATTCTCCATCAGGACCCACTCACTACTGGCTCGCCACGCATAAGCTGCTGGTGCATCCAGCTAAGAGCCTTCTCATGTGATTGCATCTCATGGTCGATGTCAATCAATGTTTTCATGATATCATCAACCTCCGACAAAGCCTGAGTGGTCCGGGTGGTCAGAAAGAGCCCATAGTGAATGGTGACCGGTAATAACTCACCTGGTTTGCGTTATCTCCTTCCAAGACGTCTGCAAGCGAAGTAGCCACATCCTTCGCGAGGGCAAATGAACCCTGATGAATCTGCTTCCGGATCATTTCCCAGTCCTGCGCAATGCCCGAGAGCTTCGTGCCTTCCTTCTTGTCTAGGGGCTGGTCATGAAAGTTTTCGATGTCAATGCGATTGTCCTCGTCATCGTCCTCAATAGCAGGGGGATCGTTGTCAGACTCAGGGTCTCCGTGAGCGCGCTTTCGAGCCTTCTTTTCCTTCTTCACCTTGCGCCTCGGCTGTTCTTCCTCGTCGTCTCCACCTTCGACATCATCGTTGTTGCCAGCATGCTGAGACGGATAGTCCTCTTCTATTCTATCTGAAGAAGGTTCCCTGCGAGAACGCGCGCTCTTCCTCCTTGAAGAACTGGCCACCGGCATTCTTCAGCAGTATGTAACTTAGCGCGTTTGTCGCGAGTCCAATTTAGAGTTGAGGGCAGGCGTGTACGCGGTATAGTCCTGATTATGTCAGCTCACTCCAGCTTCTTCTGTAAGTGCCGAAAACAAGTCGAAAATGTTGTCTGCACTGCGAGCCTGGAGTCGAATATCTCAGCCATGTAGGCTAACTCAGCTCTCTGCGACTTCTCTTGCCACAAGGTCTCTTCTCGAATCGCGTCTTTTCAGTTCGTCGCCTTCCTTGTCCATGACACTCAATCAGACGATGCGACGAAAGCGTCCACAAAAAGCTAAAGACCCAAAGTCACCACTACTCGAGGTCTGCCCTCAGAGAAAGGGTGTCTGCTCCCAAATTTTTATAATGAAGCCCAAGAAACCCAACTCGGCGAAGCGGAAAGTCGCGCGTGTCAAGTTGACCACTGGGAAGACTATCATGGCATACATTCAGGGCGAGGGACATAACTTGCAGGAGCATAGTGTGGTAACAGTCCGCGGTGGACGTGCTCAGGACTTGCCTGGTGTCCGGTGAGTTTCTCCTCCGGATATGCATGTCCAATGTGCACCTAAACTTTTTTATCCTAGTTACAAGGTCGTCCGTGGATCTTTAGATTTCGGAGGAGTAGTCAATCGTATGACTGGACGGAGTCGATATGGAGGTGAGAAATAGTGTTTTCTCGGGAGCTCGCTATTGACCTACGCTCCAGCCAAGAAGCCCAAGAAATAGTATAACCCACTAAGCTATTCGGTCTCACTGCTCCGCCAGCGACGGCCTAGATTTCATCAATTTGCACAAGTCGTTATTCTATTGACTGAATATAGAGTTCAGCAGCATAAATCCATGAATGATTACAGTGTTCATGAGTCCGCTTGACGTTTGTTCTGCCGACCTAATCCATAAATTGTTCATAGCTCGTCCGGCTATATGCAACTTTGCAGAAGCAGCGTTACAGATTTAACTTGATGAGTCCAAAATCATGGCCTCCCAGTCAGAAATAGGCTCCCCATCGGGACTTTCACCGACGTCTTCACATTTACCATGGACCTTGCTATCGATCGTCTGCCCCTATCGCGCAAGTTGTTTTGGACTCAATGCGATGAATTACATAAATGGCAGTATGAATGGCAGGAAGTTTGATGTCACTCGTGTGAGTGTCTTGACTCATCAAAATATTGACGTTCGTTTCGGTCGTGCACATTCACACTTGGGGGAATCGTCGTATATTGGTTTTTCTGCCTATGTTGACAATCAGCACGGCTAACTACATAGCATTTGGAGATCTCATGTTTCCTAAGTGGATTTCCTCAAACGTCTTGAACCTGCTTTCAGATGATGGTTAATTTGGCACTTTCTGGCTTGTTCGCAGCAGCAAATGCCGAATTAACCATCGTCTACACTTTCATATTACGTTTCTGATGGCAAGCTCATCATGTGGCTCTGCACAAGCACAAGTGCATCTGCGTTAATGTGTTCATAGTCCTGGAGATAATTGAAGTAGGAGATCTCGTCAAGAATCTACGAAAAAAATATCATACCTCTCGTTCTCAAGTTATGCCTCGGATGCTAAGCAATGTCAATTACAGCGGCGCTTGCTCGAGAAATCGGTTCCTGGCTTCGATACCTACAATTTTTGAGGCACGAAAGGCTCTCTTCGAGCCCATTGCATCCAAAAAGCTGTTGGTCCTTGCCATTTTATCTCGCCGGCAGTTGTGATTTGAGTGCTGCGTCACATATTTCACTCCGCTCGCGGCACGGTATACCTGTCGCGTCTCGTTAGACTCGCGCCGTTTTATCCATAGATCTTCAGTGGGAAGATCGCTGGATACCCGCAGATGCATATGTGGGCGATGAAAATCTGTTGCGCTATTCGATCCTGTGAAAATGCTTGCCAGTGTTTAAACCCTGAAGGATATTAGGGAGATCTGAGCCTTGTTTTGTTAGTTCATGCATTTCCAGATGTCCCTGTACGATACGGACGCACGCCGTATCTGAATGTGGCAAAGAGAGATTAATCACTTTCGAGCGTAATTCCCGAGAGAGCTGAGGTCCTGGAATCCAGCTCGTTGCATTTAACAGTTCGGTATCAGTGGTCAGGCACGGGGACAACAAAATTGTTCACGAGTTTGGGGGTGTGCTTTCCTTCAGTCGTGCTCGACGTTCATGAGGCCACAGTTGTACATGGTCCAGATGCCGTTTCTACTTCTGGAAAGTGCGGCTGATCGAGCAGAGGTCCGCAAGTGTTGACTAGTGGCCCAGGCAGGTTGCATTCCGATAGAAATGACGCTGCTAATGCATAAAAAATTCGCGTCGGGAGTGAGCAACAAAGGACTTGAAACATATCATGGACTCCCCAAGCTGCGGTACTTGGAGTTACATCACTGAAATTCACTCAGCTCGGTATGACAATACTTAAATTACAATTTTAACCAATTCTGATTGGTCACGGTAACGTCATACAATGGAATATAACAGTCTATCAAACATATATAATATTACCACCCCTTGATAATTTTTGCCTCGATGCGACACTTGATATGCCATTATAAAGGTGTATCATATGATAAGCAAACGCCTGTATTTCTACCATTCTTAATCCAAATGATTTCACAGTATCAATTCCTGCAGAAAAAATGACGTTGGATAGTCTCGTTAGATATCTAATATCAGGCAAGTATCAAGCTGGCTGAAGTTTATATCTTATTAGCGATGACGGTCATGATTGCGGTGTCCGCACACAGACTATCACGAGCTATGGCTATTATATGGTAAGCATAGACATGTTCTAAGGTGCAACACCATTTGCCCAAGTCCATCATGGGGGGTAGGAGATATAATGGCATGCAATGAGTTACAGAGGACCTCTCACGCCTACATATATCGTTAGGTCTTGCCACTGGCAGTGCATACTAGTAGTAGCGCCAACTCACTCGTTTGACTCATTGTGTTCTGAGTATTCATCGTTTCAAGTTAGTAACTCACAGGTCGTCCATGGGGTCCATCAATACTCCATTCATGGTCTTTGGATACGGTTCAATGATATTCAAGGTGAGGGCAGCCTGAGAGAGTGCACGAAAGGCCGCCGGCTGCATTGGGTACTACTAGGAAATAAACAGAGGGTACTAGTACGAGTGAGGATAATTATCATCAAAATTTGAATGCAGGCCCCTCATCCTCCGAGTCACTGCCATAATCACTCAAGTCATCTACATCACTGTCGCAATCTTCGCGAGTATCTTCATCTTCGTCTGTGTCTGCGTCGTCCTGGTTGACACCATCCAGGTCTCTATCGCAACCATCTTTGTGCAAGCTTTCATCTCCAAAGTCGACATTGGCATTGGCTTCAGGGTCATCGTCATCCGAGACGTCTCCGTGACTAACATCAGTACTTCCGCTCCCTACTGCGGGATCAGGTTGGACAATATTCAATGAGTCATATTGAACTTGGTGCCCAACACCTATGCCTGCGAAACGGCAAAACATGTCTCTATCGGCGAAACTGCACGAGTTATGGTGAGTGTATGAATATAAAGCGAGACAAGTCTCACATATTGACATAAAATGAAGCCCAGTCGTCGACCTCTCCAGGCAGTCTTGCAGCTGAGGGACCATGTCTGAGAAGGTCGGTCGTGCGATGGTCAGCAAAAGCAGGGATAAGGTGGCATGCCCGGATCACTAGTGATGGATCAAGAAACCCGAAAGCACCAGGTGAGTCGGGAACGAATCCGATCTTTGGGAGGCGGCCTTCTCGGAAGCCCCAACGGTACTGTGGCACCACACCGAGCCATCGCACCCACAAAACCTCCATGAGCTGAGGTGAGCGGTTGTGAGCATTTGGGCCAACATGAAGAACATTGATACAAAATGCACCCAATACCCGTGCATACCAAAAAGGGTGAGCACCCACACTGCTTTCTCTCGACAACATCATCACTGTAGAGCCGTTTCCAGGTCGGAGCGTGTCTTGATCCCTACGGATATCGTATGTCGTATAGTTGATTTGGAAGCGCTTAGGTTGGAAAACACTGTTCAGATTGTTTATAAAGCGCAAGTTATTTCGCTCGACATCCGTGAAGTCTCGTTCGTCGCCGTCATATTCTAAACCCAACAAGCGGGAAAGGATATGGTCTTTAATTTTCGGAATGAAGTCCTGTCAGGTAACATTACTGAACGTGTCAGAACAGTCACAAAAACGTATCTTACGGCGACAGCTGGGTCACCTCGATGCTGTTCAAGATAATGAGCCAAATTGATGATGATACCCGAATAGCTTGATAAACAATGATGAGCTTCCGGTGGTAGTAGGTCCCTGGCATCGCTAGATTCTTGCAGACGTCTGATACGAGTGCGCCTCCTTTCTTGCTTCGCCAACTGCTTCAAAGGATCTTGCTTATTTGTATTGCGGTAGAACATCTTCAAAAGCCTGTGTGCAAGCTCGCCCTGGAAATTCAAAGGATTAAGTCGTTTACTTCCACTGAAGATGGATACATACTATTTGGGTAGTGTACGAGTCAGTGGTTCCAAACATCTTGATAGAGCTTACATAGTCACCAAGCGCGTGTAACTTATAAGTTTGGATATTGAAAGCCTTAGGATGCGCTCCAGATGGCCGTGTTCCTGCGGCTGCCGAGTTGAGATTGGAACTCCTCTGACGAGCAGCAATTTCCGCTGGGAGCTCCATAGTCCGAAACGCTGAGCATGTGAAATCTCGAAATTTTCGAAGCTGCTGTCCCAGACATCTAGTAGCTTGACTAAGTAGATCAAGGGAGTCATCCATGTGGATTCGAAGCTTTGCAAGGGCGTGCCATTCAGCAAGACGAAAGAGGAGAATACGGACAACTCCATTGTGTGAGTCTGGGAATAGACCCTCAAATGCCGGAATCGCACACTGGACAACAATCAGATTATGATAAATTCAAGAACAGCACTGCAGCATAAATCAAACCCGCCTGTAAGATATCCTCGAAATGGCGTGCGGCTCTTTGTTTCATCTCAGATACATTTGAAGGAAAACATCGAATGGCGCCTTTTCCAAATGACGGAATTAAGTGAAAGCTTGATATCGAGGAACTGTTAGCATCAGGTGAGGCTGCCATGCTAATGAATACGTACCGTTCATTCAACAAAGCTACTGATTTGACATCAATGGCATAAAGAAGCCTTATAAGATGCTTGAGGACGGATTTGAAGACTCCGAGCTCAAATTCATGCAGGAGATCGACCACGAGTATGGGAAAAAAATCAAGGCCCAGAGGCCCAAGTCGTTCGTTGAAAGTGTTCTAAGGGCAAAATATACTCAAATCGTTCAAAAGGTCTATAGCTAATTGTGCTTACCAAGGTCGGCACCAATGAGAACGCCTTCAGAAGATTCTCGGCTGCAGCACCTTTGATCGGAGCACCTAGCTTGTATATAGCCTCACGTGCCACAAAAATCTTGTCTCTGAGGTATAAACGCACACTGTTGATGCGTGCCGACATGTCAGCTTTGAGACCGAGCTGATCAAAGCATGATTTCGGCCGAAAACAGCGGGGACACGGGCAAATTCCTTTGTCGCGAATAGCAGCAAGAAGGACTCTATTTGAAGGCTGTCAGTTAGCGTGTGGAAGTTGAGACGATAAATGAGATCACTTTTCTGGGTAATCTGCAGAGTAAGTAAAAATCCTCGGAAAGACTCGTCGAAACACCCCATTGTGGCATTTGATCACGATCCCATTCCTATATGCATCTACAAATTCATCATCTAACAGGATGCGCCAAAGCGCATGAAACAATTCCCGTTTGCAATGGGCGAGAACGTCGCTGATGCTCTTCGTCTTGATAAACTTGTTGATGAAAGCCACAATGGATTCTGGTAGCTAGAGACGAATCGGATTAGGTGATTTTCAGACGGGAAAGATGGATACTCACAGAAGGGATAAACGCGATAGGGTGACAAGCATTGGTAGTCGGACAGGCGTGGGCGTATTTCGATTGATTCCCAAAAAAAAGATAGACTGGCCATGCAGAAGCATCGCCGAACTGCGTCAAGTGCGTTGCATCGGACCAGAACATGAGCCCAGCAATAACCCGCTCCAGTTTACACCCATCACCCCTCTTCTGCTTCTGCAACTCATCGTGGGCCTTGTTCCAGGCATCTGACGTGTAAAGTTCGTCATATAAACGCTGTTCTCGTCCAGTTAGCGGTGACTTCCAGAATCGTTTGAAAGGAGTGAGGTGAAACCAGCGAGATGATGCCTCTGAGAAGGCCGCACGAATAACAGCCACGAGTGGCCGATAATGAAAACCTGGGACAGTAAATAGTTGGCCATTCCCATCCGCGTTTCTCTCCCTGGTCGGCACTAGTATTTCTGCTACCGATTCCTTCCAGTTATCTCTTTGAAAGATACCGGTAGGGTCCAGTGTTGCCTCAGAGGCATCGAAGTGCATCATTTCTGTGTGAGCATTGAAATTATCAGGCACATCGTCGAGACTGAAATCCTTCGCCTTTAATACTTCGCGAACGAGACGGGTAACTTGGGTTTCAGACGTTAGACCACTATTACTGGTCATCTTCCAAGACATCAAGCGCCAGATACTCATATTTTTCCATGGCCAAGGTGGTGACTGCGATAGAGGTGGGCTCTGAGAATGATTAGCTTGCTCCTCGAGGGAAGGGGAATCAGATGTGATATTGGACAGCTGGTCGACGGAGACAATAGAGTCTGGGTCATATGATGGTCGGTGGCGATACTCCCATCCAATCCCAAATTTATTGAGAGATGTGCGAAAAGAATCGAACACATAAAGAACCACCCGGCGCACGACAGTTGTCGAAGCTGGTTCTGGAATGGCAGGTGGGGGAGCTGGAAGCTCATCCCTGAATCGTAAAGGCCGTCGATGTGTTCGAGATGGACGGCCAGTTCCACTTTCTGGCTGCTCTTCTTGCAGGGCGTCAAATGCGGAGGTGCTAGATGAGGCCACTGCCGGACCATTGATGCTGGGTGGAGACGCAGGAATATTGGAGGAATCGGATGTCACCGTGTTCATGGGTGGAGAGTCCGAGACAGAAGTTGGCTAATATTCAAATGAGTGGAGATCAGGGTATGGTATAACTGGCAGCGAATACACTCACTATTTGGGCGCTAAGTTTCATTTTCTTTGTAGCAGGAGCTTCCAAGTCTTGCAGGGATGCAGAGATGCGTTTGAAGTGTTGTGATTGCAGACTCAGCTGCTTCTGCCAGTGCTTGCAGGTCTGACGGTGACGGGTCAAGTTTCTAGGCGCTGAGAATGATCCGCTGCATTCCCCTCCACATTTGAGGTGCATGCTAATGAAAGTAACGAGTATAAGAAAAGCCGTTAGATCCTTGAGAATATAAACAAGTTTCATGACCTCTTCATATGCACCATAGATTTGACAGAGCGGTAGAACGTCAAGTGCGACCCGGAAAGGCCTGTAGTATTAGGTAGTGTTATGCTCGTGGGACTCCTGACACATCACAAAAAGCGGCTGAACATGTTCCGAATCTCAGCGTGATGTCATCAACACCTTGACGCGACATTTGACAATGAGTATGATACATACAATACATACTAGATAATGTCGCACAAATATTGTGCCTGAGTCAGAGGAACATACATTGACAAACAGACCAAGCAGACTCCTCAAGTTCTAACAGCGATTAACGTCCTGCAACTAATCATCCGCCAGGCACCGAATCTGTATGTTTCGCTTTTATTAGCAATGTTCATTGTTTTCTGGAAAATATTCGAACATCACGCGTGTATTTTTTACCAAAGACGCCGGGATACAGACCCTGGGTGGAGTTTTGGAATTGTGGCGCGGATACTTCCAACAAGCTCAGGATACACCAAGATACAATAGTATAGGAGTTTCGCCCTACTGGGAGTGAACAGATATATGATCACGTGGCCTTGTGAAGCTTACACTATGAACGTTAATAAACCTTCTACATACCATTTTGATTGCTGTCTCGTTAGCATTATTTTTCATGCTTTTAGTAGAGTAGTGAATATATAATTGAATTTATAGTGAATACACTTACTTTAGTTGCTTTGACTTCTCGTGTCTAAGAGCACGTCCCGTTTTGGACGAAAGTATATCTCCGGCATTTTCCGGAACGGCGCTACATGACACATCTTGATGTGTCATGTACTACGTGCCGTTCCGGAAAATGCCAGAGATATACTTTCGTCCAAAACGGGACGTGCTCTTAGACACGAGAAGTCAAAGCAACTAAAGTAAGCGTATTCACTATAAATTCAATTATATATTCACTACTCTACTAAAAGCATGAACAATAACGCTAACGATAATGGAGGACAAAATGGGAACCGCGATCACCAGGTACGCCGAACATTTTCTAATAATTATTGCTCACCGACTCTCGACAGATTCCTGAACGCGATTTACAAATCATACCAAGGCCTCGGAACGTGCAGTTCACGCTGACGGAAGGACAACACGTGAGTAACGACTCGTTCAAAAAGCAAAATTTTAACATTTTCGAAGGAACTTATGTACGTTACATGGGCCGGCGCGCGACTCCGTGTGCGCCAACAGCTCTATCACCCGGACTTGCCAATTCAGCCCCATCCTCAGCCTCCGCACTGGTCAGAAGAAATGTGCGCGATGCTGGTGCTCTGGGTTGCTAGGGAGCGCCGAATTTTTGAGATGGAGATGCGAGAATTAGAATATCTTCTGGGACTTAGAGGTGCACGTTAGCGCTGCCAGGTAAGCCGGTTCAAAACATAAAATTCCGAACGGACTTACGAGTATTTTAGACCATATGCATGAAGAGGGAAGTTCTAAGAGGCTGGGGATGAGTTAAGCGGCTGCGCACATCGGACGAATGTACAATACACAATGTAACACCTACTCCACTCAACATATTCGGAATTTTGGCTGCTGAAGCGAAAAAAACCTTAATGTGGTCGACAGATTCCGAGGATTCCAGTGTATCAGTGGACGACATGCGAGAATGGGACAGTAAAATTTGATGATCAGAGGTATTGGGGAGGAGTCGAGACAGACATCAGAAGCCGTTTCCAGCGGACTTGCATCATTGAATGGTGTTACATTCACAACACCTAGCTTGGACTGAGGAGAAGTCTCCAGTTGGCCCTGAATAACATCCCGAATGTCGCCTACAGCACCGGGCTTCAGCCTGGCAATATCTTGGGAAAGGTCGAGCGATATGTCTGGACCAATGAGTCATGTAGCTGCCATTGTTGAGCGTGATCCAGGTGCACCCGTTGATTGTGCTCAAGCTCGAATGAATTTTCATGAGCCTGATTCGCGTGCAAAGTACAAATTGTGTCAGTGCAATAACACGCTACAAAGAAATTTACTCACTAGTTGATTAACGAGCTGATGTGCGACCGATGATTGCTGAATAAAAATTTGGGGTACGTTGCAGTATAAGAATAATCGAAGATGTGATGGAGATGGAGTATACGATACAGGTGATGCGCACCGTTGACGTTGTGCTGAATAGAATGCCAGAAGACAAGCAGTAAAGACCTAAAGAGAAAGCACAAGATAAGTATAAAAAGTGAGACAAAATAAAACTAGGGATAAAGAGGTCGCGAGGACTGGGGTCGCGTGTTGAAGATAAAACCAGAGGTAAAAAGAAGAGCACGAACCCAATCAGAGAGCAAATATCGCCATAGTATCAGCACTGTACAACAAATACTCGGAGAGAGGTTGATTTCAGCTCAATGCAAAGCATAAGATAAACGCGAGGGTTTATAAAAAAAAAGCTGCAAGGCTATCACGTTGCCCTCAGGGCATGCTTAAAAAGCTCCCGTGATCACTGTTATTGCACTGAGTACATGCCATTCTGAGAACGGGCAACTCACCAGTGAACATCTTGAACGACTCAAGGCTTGAAATTTGAAACGCGGCACTTCTGAAAAGTGCGTGACTAGCTTACACATTACCAGCGCCGCAAAACTCCGAATTCAAAGATTTCATCTGTTATGGCAAACTTTGTTTATGTAAGCCGGCCGTGTTGTAACATCGAGGCTGCGGCGGTGCATTGCTGGCCAGGGACGAGCACTTGGTCTTGGCTAACTCTGACCCAACAAGAAGCTTGCTGCCAGAATTGATGATTGTGATGAACCTAGTCTATTGGCAGCACTGCTCAGTAACCATCAAGGTCGATACTGCTTCAAGTAAGTTGTTATTACACTAGTATGAAGAATCAATACAACAATTCACATCCCATGGTTTTCAATAGCGTTACAGATTTCAAGAATAACTCCGTTTTGCCTGCCGATGACCGTTTCAATCCTACTCACAGCTTCACGCAATCCCACAACTTCCTGCATGACCTTGGCTAGTGCCGATCTTCCAATCTTCCTGCGTTTCACAGGTGGCTGACGCTCAACAACAGGTACTGATGTTGCCCTCATGCTAGTCATGTCCTGGCCAAAGTTACGTGGAATCTGCGTGTGGTGAGTGTGTCAGTCGAAAAATTGAGCTGGGCGTACTCACAACATCATCATGATCGTCAGACCTCTTTCGCTTTGAACGACGTGCATCAGCATTATAGTGATCGCCATCTTGAGCTTCCAACTGCTGAAATTAGCTGTTAGTACAATCGCCACCTATAATCCAGACACATACTGGCTTTGGTTGTTCCGCTCCAAAGTCATCTGCAAGCTGAAATGCCTGCTCATTGTCTGGAGGTGAAGGTGAAGATTTGATCCTTTTAAGTAGACTTATAACATGCTTATAGCATCCACAGGAATATGCAGGGGCGCTTTGGCCACCGCCAGACCCAAGGCATCCAAAATGACTTTCTGGAGTAGACCTCCTGGAGCTCTCAAACTCAAGGTTAGCATACCCCGATAAGATTGCATCCTGAGCATCATTGAAGTCAGAAGGGCGAGAGTCATTGGTACGAGTGTCACTGTCAGACGACATGTTTCTTGCTTACTCTGTCGAGTGTAAGGGTTTTTAAAACATTTTATTGTGCTACGATTCTAACTGCATTTGGTGCAGTGGCAACTTGTCCGAATCTATGCTCTCCGACGCAAGGCAGAACAACCCAATGGAAATCGACTTCCTAAACGGTTGCTCGGTCAGGCTAGGGGAACAATATAATATTCCTATACTAGCTAATACCCTTGTTCAATTAGTCAAGATGCAGTGCTCCGTACCCATCGATCAGACGTTTTGAATTTTCTGGAGTATCTTGAGTGAGTGTGATGTACTAGGCGTTTTCTGACAGTGCTCATCAGCAACGTAAAGTCTCATATTCGGCACCGCATCGATCGATGCAGACATCTAGGACAATCATTCAGGGTAAATGCATACACTCCTAGTTAGACGTCAACAAGTTCCGCGTCTTGAACTTTTCTGGCACGCGGAGAAGTCGCAGTCCAGGGTTGTTCTATGTAATTTCATAACTCCTTACAGGACAGTCCGAAAATGCTTGGCAGCCCCGAGCTCCTCATCAATTGTAACATGATCCGGCTGGTACAACCCAACGTTAAACTTATGCCGGTGAGTGAAACGAAATTACCTCTGAGTCAGATCTAGCATTGATATGTTTAGCCTAAACGTGGAACTACCATTACTGGGTCACAATGTCGCAGACAACTCGTTTGACGGCCTAGGAAGTCTCTCTGATCAACGAATCTGTATTTTCTCTCAAGACTGCTCGATTAATGTGCACCCATTACTATAACATTGACGAGGCTTTGTTATATTAGTACTATTGAAGAAACGCAAATAGATTTCTAGGCTACGATTTGCCCGGATTGCAGTAATAGTACCAGCCAGTGCTAAATATGATAAGTGCCAAATGCCACGGACGCTACTGTGCCTAGCCCAGGCTACCTCCATGGACTCCATATCCTGCTTTGCGCGGTCCGGTATAACTCCCACATTCGAATCACTAGTTTCGAAGAGTTGTGACGCTCGTCGACAGGGAGGAATCAGCCGGAAGTCAGTGAAGGGCGGTGTATAGTATGTAGGCGATGCGATGTTGAGAGCATGATTTGTTGAGTGAGATGAAATGCAGCAGACGTAGAGTTTGATGCTGCTGTGCTCCCTCTTGGTCTTGAAGAGATAAAAAGGCGCGCTATGAAGCCAAGTCACTGAAGGCGATTGAATGTAGACGGACAATACTGACCACTTTGGAATGTATAAGATTGCCTTGAACTCGAGCTGACCCTCAACAGAGAAGTGCTTGACGGCGAGGTGCTCCTCCCAATCGTTGGTCAGCGATTTGTAGAAGGTAACGTACTCCTCGGAATTTGTCTCCTGAGGATTACGCATCCAGATGGACGTTGAGCTCCTCGTTGGTGATCTCGATTCTCGATCTCCTTGACGTTGGTAGATAGAGCCTGAGACTAACAAAAACTGCCGGTAGTCATTTTGCCTGGGGCTAACCACCAAACCAGGCCGAGATAGAGACCGAGGATGAATGGGTGCTAAGAGTCTGGAAAAAAGCATGCGGATGAACTTGGATCACCTTTGCCATCTTTTTCAAAATGTAGATGTAAATATAGATTAGTAAATATTGAAGCGACTTGGATTGCGCTGCACCGCCACACCAGCAGTTCAACTTTGTTCACTGGCATGCCAGTACCAACGCTTCCCCTCGAACTTGAGAGAGAGATCATCACTCTCGCTATTGATTGCATGCAGCAAGCTTACTCGCTGTTATTCGTCTCGCGAAGGGTGTGTTACTGGTGAGCAATTCCGAAGGTACAGGCAGAGCACAATGATACTGAGCACTGCTGCGGCAGGGCCGAAACGCTGCTTTATCGAAAAATTGTTCTATCAAATGAAAGCATTGCTATCTGCTTTCTTTCATCACTTTATATTCGGTCCCAGCACCGTGATTTCGCTCGAGGGACCGTGAAATCATTATGTATCGAGGGTGATGTACGTCTGAGTACAGCCGCAAAGATACTTTCCCTGTGCAGTGGTACTACCAATCTCTCATTATGGATTGCGCCATCGGACATCAAGAACGGAACAACAAATCCTCTACTGCAGCCCTTAAGTGACCTCCCACTAATATCATTATCACTTAGTATATCCCTCATTTTCCGTTACACCCAGTTGGTCTGCCTTTCCTCTTTCAAGATCTTCAGTACAGTGACACATCTTGAAATTCTCAACGGCTGGGTGCTATGGAGCTCTACAGTTGGTCTGGAGTACCTCCATAGACTGACGCACTTGTGTCTACATATCCATACACGAAGGACTAAGCCAAAATTGGTGGCGTCCCTTCTCACTCTGCCACACCTCCAAGTAGTTGTGTTCCGTATCTCAGAAGATATCAACACAGTCCAAACATTCCTGGAATCTAACTCCCTCAGCGACTCTCGCATCGTGCTGGCATCTCAAGTTCCCACTACCTGGGGTGAATTTGGAGGTGGCGATATGTCTCTCTGGAAGGGTGCTGATCAAGTGGTAGATTGGAGGCGCAACAGTACCAAAGGCATGTCTTTCTATCCCGAAAGCACACTATGACCGGCTAATGCCTTTGATAGGAGGGCCTTTTAGTGTACCGTCATCCGACATCATGCATCGCTGAGCAGCTTCCAGTCAGTTTGTACCGTGATATACTTTGTGGCTATACAGATAATCATCTTCGATCGGAGCGATATACAGACTTTGATGTGCTACCTCAGAGTAGGGGACGTGTTTATTCCTTTCCACAAGTATTTATGTACATCTTCTGGCCAAAATCTTATGCGTCATACTGAGAGTGGCGGGTCAGAGACATACGAGGTCAAGATATTGCGTCATTCACCGCCAACACCCCCACTCGGCCAGCAGACCTATCAACCACCCCAAAATTACGTCGGCAAGTGTCAACAGCAAGGAGAGGCGAACGCGCAACATCGAGACCGCAATTCCGACTTCATTATGCTCCAAGTCTGGTATTATTAATCGTATGTAACATTACAGCTCGAGACTTATACATGATGCTAAACTACACCTACTAGTACAAACTATGAATCGATCTGTGTCAGGGGGACTTCAAAGATTACCGAAGAATCGTGAGTACTACAGCTCGAGGTTTCTTAATGTGAATGGTGCTAAACCACACCTCATAGTAAACAGTACGCCCTGCGGATTGTGTCAAGGATTTGGGTATGTGTGCTCTCCTGTCTCTCGGCAAAGGCGTCTATTCCAGCATGTACTAGATGTACTGCGGCAGATAGGGCTGCTAGAAATGAAGGTGTTTACCTTCTACTAGACGGGTATTGAACAACGTTGCATTCTTACCTAGTATCATTTCCAGCTGCCTTCCACATTACGGCCCAGAGCTAGCGCTCTGGTGTGAATTGCCGGCTTCGTCGAGATAACTGACAACGTGGACGAAGAAGTCCATGACCATAAGGGGACAGAGGCCGTGAAAAACGGTAAGGCATTCAGGTGAGATGATCTCTATATCATCCACCGTCCTGACTCCCAGTGAAGTCAGTGGACGCGAAAACTTTTCAGTCCACCCGCGTCGTGACTCTGCCTTATCGAGTTTGGCCAGAAAATCGTTGATGGAAGGATAGAAGACGCGGGGGTCAGTTTCAAGCTCCAAGTTGGTAAGTATGGACGACATGGAGTTCGATTCTATTTGATTCGATGATATTCTGACACCTGTTGTAAAGGCTTTCAAATCCGGTTTGCCCGCCAGCGCATAATAGCAAGCAAATATCTGGACGTAATTTTATTTTAGAGTCTCCATTTCATCCAGGTAAGTATCCTCTGGTTTGGTGTCTCTACTTTGATTGGTTTAGCGTCCCCGTCCTTCCATTTTATCCAATAAATTGTTTTTTCTTGTTCCACCCGTACTTGTATTCAAGTTGACCGCAACATTTTATGTAATCACCGTCAGTTGACGCACATTGACTTAGTTAGACTGCAGTTTGATCTAATTGCATCGATCGACAGAATCACCCTGGAGCAAACTCTACTACTAATCAGTCAATTGTGTCACCATTCAATACGTACACAATGCACTGTCCATGGAGATATGAAGAATGTACGGAGCCGAAATTCAAAAGGTGTCAGATCTTTGGAAACGCAGCTAGTACCATGACGTTGTGTGGGGATCATTGGTACCGTTAGCTTTTCGAGGTCCGCGCTTCATTTCCGTCATGTTTCTTCAGCTAAATTGACTGCCATGCCCACTTCCAAGTCCCCACTCAACATTCTTATCCATGCGCAATGGCGTCCTTATCACCATCTCAATCTGAATCAGACAATTATGATATTCATCCTCTAGTCGCTCTTAAAAGACGAATAGCTGCACTTGAGGAAGAAAATGCAGACCTCCGAGTCCATCGGCTCACTGTGAAGAAATGGTATGTCTGGTATTCGAAAATGCGGTACAACAAATTGATAATGCGATCAAAACAGTGAATCAAATGTATATTATGGTCGATCCATTCGAAGGCTCGTGTGCCTAACCGAGCGCGTTGAGGATCTAGTAGCAGAATTCGATAGGCGCATTGGACTGGGCGCTGCTAACGAATCTGACGCTGACATAATGGACTCAGATAACCCAGAGTAAGTGTGTTTTTCCGAATCTTACTTGGTTGACTCTCAGGTCGTGTTTCCAGAGAGAACAGACGGTATCGCTCCTTCAAGAAACTTATGATATGGTGTCCCTCGGTTTGTAAGTTGCTACGGTCATCTGCCGAGCATGAAACCCTTGCTTTTGCATATAATAAGGTGAGATTCCCCAGAACAAATCACCGACGAATCATTACTGTATCTCGCATCCAGCTGAATGAAAGCTCTGATGGGGCCAGAGGAGACGACTCTGCTGGTCTCAAGCGTGCTGTCGCTGATTGGCTAATGGAATGTACCCCCACGCCAAATCCCCCCATTCACAAGCAAAGCAAATCTGGTCAGGGTTTTTACCACGACATGACGGGCAGACTCCTGTGCCCAGTTGATTATAACTGGAGCGATCCCATGTGAGGGCTCTTTTATGAGCACTGTACCACAGCTAACTTATACCTTCAAAGTGTTCGAGCATCCATTCGAGACTACCATCCCGATTTTCGTATCACCGCTTGCTCCTGGCCTTCGTTCCTGTACAAGGATGGACATTACGACCCCCAGAACCCTGCAAAGGATCTGTTTAAAGGCGAGCTACTCGTAAAGGTGAGATTAACATGTGTGACAGAAGTTCTACTGAATGCTGTCTGCAGGCATTTAAACGCGTATTCACCTCTCCGAGTTCCACAGACGAGGAACAAGCTGTTGACTCGGTGGCTCGTTCCGCACTCGGGAGGAACAGTGGTGAGCGTCGCACTCGGCGTGACGTTTCGACACTACTCAATATGCGATCTATCCAACCTCGAGCTATAGCTTACATATCTGTTCAGGTTCAGACTATTCAACTCAAAGTATCTGCATGTTTTGCTGATTAGAGGGCTTAGCTAAGATTTGCGTTGTCAAGCTCGGGATCTTGGCGCGTCGTTGATGACGAATTCAACAATCAAGAATTTTACGACAACATAGTCGACTATCTTGAACTTCCTCCAACACCCGAAGCAGCGAAAGAAGTGGATGATATCTTACTTTGGTGGAATCGGTGAGTAGCCTTGGCGTCTTTACTCTACCCTCCACTGATGCATTGGTACATTGAAATTTCATTTTCTAGAAAAGTTTTTGGTCGAAAACATGTTTCTGACTATCGCCCGCAGCAGGCAAACCACATGTCAGTTGCCATGACTTTGGCCAAACGATGTTGCCCGTAGTTTAGTTTAGTTTAGTTGGAACCTACTAGTACTTAACTGGGAGTTGCATGTATAAAACTTTATATTAGCTATGTTGTATAATCAACAATTGTATTTTCTGGCCGCAACACTATGCATTCAATTGCCGAGTAAGATCCGAGTAGTACGATCAGCAATATTAATGCCATCAGAGCCCTTTTTTGCGTAAATGTCGAATGATAGATAATTTGTCTAAACATTCTGCACCACCATATGGTCGAAACGAGTGGTCCACTTTCTTCACCCATCTAGCATCTAGCAGCCAACATGAATATGACACTAATGTGACTTCAGGTAACGGGTTGTGTGTGGTGTTGCAGTATTGAACATTGGTTGTGCTTGTGTCAAGAACGGCATTGCGAGTGACCAGGGACACGTCCACCTGACTTGCAAGCTCTGGTAGCACATACTGCGCTGATACATGTGGGCCACCAGCTCAATACTGACAATTTTGTTTCTAAGCACCTCATTTTGCGATGCAAGGCACATCAATATCTTAAAACTTTGAATTGATATACTGTGTCTGCTCGTGCCAATCCTGTAAGTATCTGCCTACAATGTAGGTCAGTGAAAATAGTACACAACTTATGTTGAGATTGGCGCCGAGACGCAAGGTACGAACGCAGTCTCGGTTCGGAAGTTCCCGCGCTGGGCGCAGCGCTAGAAGATTAATCGTATGATATTCATTTGCGGACAGAAAATTTACTTACAAAACGAGTCGTTGAGATAGAAACATCTCAGTCCTGTCCTACTGACTAGAGACTGAGATGTGAGTACAGATACCCACTTAGACTGCCTGTATATTGATGAACCTACTATTAGATATTCGTTTAGGTACATACCAAGAGTCCTGTCCTACTGACTAGAGACTGAGATATATTCGTTTAGCCTTGCCCTCGCGTTATCAACCTTAACAGGTTATGAGCCCTGCTGCTTCAGCAATGGATACAATGCTCCCCAGTGCCGGATCCTCATTATTCAACATTCCCCAGCTTGCCGAAGACGGAACAAACTGGATAACTTACAAGGAGAGAATATTGACAGTGATCGGCGCCAGAGGTCTGATGCGTTATGTCGATGGGCGCGCGGCAAAGCCAGTGCCTTACACGATTGATCCAATAACGAGCAAACCAAAGAAGCCAGATGGTACAATGGCCACTGATGCTGAAGTCGAGGACCTGGACAAGAAAATTGATGAGTTCTATATGAAAAACTCACTCGTCAAGCAGCACATCTTTAGCACGATCACGGATCGGCTACTGCTGCGTGTCCAAAAGCTGGACAGTGCCTCGAAGATATGGGAGGAGATTCGGACCATACACGAGGGCAAAAGTGATTTTGTCCAGATAGACCTACGCCGTCGGTTACAAGAGACTCGATGCGAGGAAGGAGGGGATGTAAAAGCTCACCTTGGAGAGCTAATGCGGCTACGTGAATCGCTAGCCAGCATGGGAGCATCACTCGACGACAAAGATTTCGCGGCCATAATTATGGGGTCGCTACCAGAGTCTTATCGTCCTATCCTATCATCAATGAATGCAGCAGCTCGTGTCTCGAAGAAAGTACTCTCACCAGAAGAGATCATGGGCATTGTCTCGGAAGAGTACGAGCACCGGGTTATTATGAACCCAACAGTGTCGAAGAAGGGAGGGAACACAGCCTTGACTGCGGGCGCAAAACCAGATAGGTCGAAGGGCCGAAATGGTGGTGGAAGCTCGAGTGTCACCTGCTACAACTGCAATAATGTCGGACATGTTAAAGCAGACTGCTGGAGTAAAGGCGGAGGCAAAGAGGGTCAGGGACCTAAAAGACGGGGACAAAGGAATGGACGCTCACAGAAGCCAGCTGCCAATGCAGCCACCCAGTCTAGCACGACAACAGCAGGAGAGAACTATGCATTTGCCACATCAGACTTGGCAAGTGTAGCAAAACAGATCAACATACCAGTCGAACACCGTGGAGCAATTGTTGACTCCGGCGCGACATCTCATTTTTGTCCTGATCGCTCAAAATTCATCAGCTTCGTCCAAATCGAGCCGCAGGAGGTGCACACTGCTGACGGATCAAGTATTAGTGCTGTTGGTCGCGGAAACGTCGAAATAGACTTACCATTAGGAAAAACAAGCACCAGAGTTACACTCAAGGACACTCTCTACACCCCGAAGATGGCTTTTACCTTGATCTCGACAAATCGTATTGCTGCAGCCGGTCTTGCAGTCCATTTCGAAGATGCCATGTGCAAAATCCTATCCCCCGCTCCAACACGAAAAGTCATTGCCGAAATTCCACAAATAAATGGACTATATAGTATCGCTGCAAGTCCTCATCAGCACGCAAACATTGCCAAGACCAAACTCACCATTAGCGACTTACATCGTGCCCTAGGCCACGTATCTCAGGCCGCGATTGTTGATGCCATCACGAAAGGCCTTATTGAAGGTGTCGAGCTTGACTCCACCTCGAAGCCAGAATTTTGCGAAGCCTGTACTCAAGCAAAGGCTACACGTCAGCCATTCCCGAAGGAGTCACCAAACAGAGCCAAAAAGTATGGGGAATTAATCCATACTGACCTTTGGGGACCGGCGCAGACAGCAACAATCAATGGGTGCCTGTATTATATAAGTTTCACCGACGACTTCTCGCGTGAAACACAGGTCATGTTCCTAAAGCAGAAAAGCGAGGCATTAGCGGCATTCAAGACATATGAAGCGAGGCTTACCAGGCAGCATGATAGCGCGAAGATCAAGGTCCTTCGTTCGGACCGTGGTGGCGAATACCTAAGCTCTAACTTCAATGTGTACCTGCAAGAGAAGGGAATCAAGCGAGAACTTACTGCTCATGACTCGCCGCAACAAAATGGGGTTGCGGAGCGTCTGAATCGCACATTGGTCGAGTTGGCACGAGCTATGCTAATTGCAAAGAATATGCCGAAATTCCTGTGGGCAGAAGCGGTTAACTATGCTACATGGTTGAAGAATCATTTACCTTCCCATGCCATCCCCGGACACACACCGTATGACCTAATTCATGGTCATCGTCCAGATCTATCCCGCGCACACGAATTTGGGGGGAGGATTTTCGTTCATCTCCCACATGCTGGAAAACTCGAACCGCGAGCTGAAGAAGCCGTGTTTGTAGGTGTTGATCTCGAGAGCAAGGCATCTCGAGTATATTGGCCTGCGAAGAGATGGGTTTCTGTTGAGCGAAACATCAGCTTCGTCCCAACAATGGTACATGCAGCTGATGATGTACTGGCCGAGGGGGAGTCTGAGGTACCTGTGCAAGAGCCACGAACCTTGAACCACGTCCAGCACATCAAACCGACACCAGAAGTGCCAAAAACCCCACCTCAAGTTGCGCAACCACTTCCCACACCACCAACACCTAGACAAACTCGCGTACGTCCACCAGCAGGCTATTATCGTGCACTACATGAGGGGGAGAGAGCCTCAGTCGCAGCAGAAGCAGATGAGAGCCTAGAGCCTACCTCGCTAATCCATTGGGCACTTGCAGCCGCCGAGCCAGAACCAATGCTAAAGGAAGCATTGAGTGGACCGGATGCCGAAGAATGGCAAGAAGCTATTGACTATGAGATAGGTCAGCTCGAAAGGTTAGACGCATGGGAGATAGTAGACGCACCACCTGGAGCCAACATAATACCATGCCACTTTGTGCTAGCCACCAAGCGAGGCCCAAATGGCGAGAAGTTGAAACTGCGGGCACGTTTAGTAGCAAATGGTCAGCGGCAGAAAGAAGGGCTAGATTATTCGGAGACGTTCGCACCTACATCGCATATGACCACCATCCGAACGGTACTATCAATGGCAGCACGTCAGGACTGGGAGGTTCATCAAGTCGATATCAAAAGTGCTTACCTTAATGCACCGCTCAAAGATGACATATATATGCGAGCCCCACCAGGATACCTAAAGCCGGGAGACGAGAACAAAGTACTGAAACTTTTGTGAAGTTTGTATGGCCTTAAACAGGCAGGGTTCGAATGGTCGGAAGAACTCGAAAGATTCTTCCTGGACACCGGATTCAAGCGCTCGGAGGTTGATAGGGCAGTGTACTATCGTCATAGGAAGGACGAGCACATGGTCATAACTAGTTCAGTTGACGACATGGCCATCACTTCGAGGTACACGAAGCATATCGAATGGTTTAAGGACCAACTTCGAAAACGTTTCGAAATCACCGATCTAGGGGAGCTTGGGTGGTTATTAGGATTAAAAGTTGAGCGAAATCGGACAGCACGCACCATCACCCTATCCCAGCAAGCATACGTCGAGACCATCCTACAATGATTTCGCATGCAAGACGCTATGCCTGCATACACACCAATGAACCCTGGTGAAATCTTGTCCACAGATCAGTCTCCATCAACACAGGCAGAGCTGGAAGATATGAAGGACGTACCTTATCAGCGAGCCATCGGCTCGCTGATGTATGCAGCAGTCAGTACACGCCCTGATATCGCATTTCCAGTGGCAATACTGTCGAAATTCATGCGAAACCCGGGATGGACACACTGGAAGGCTGTCAAACAAATCATCCGTCATCTCCAAGCTACCAAGAACATGCAGCTTACCTTAGGATTGACTGACACGGGCATAGAAGCCTTCGTAGACGCGGATTGGGCGTCCCAGCCTCATCGGCACTCGATAACAGGGTATGTTGTCCTGTTAAATGGTGGGCCGGTGGCCTGGAGTGCCAGAAAGCAGTCGTTAATTGCACTCTCGACGGCCGAGGCAGAGTATATAGCGCTCACCAGCGTTGCTCGCGAGATCCTATTCATACAAGCTCTTTTGGACGAGTTGTATGGACCGACTCCAGATTCAATTCCTGTATATTGCGACAATCAAGGGGCTATAGCGCTGGCATCAAACAATAAATTTCACGGACGCACCAAGCATATCGACATCCGATACCATTATATCCGCGAACTCGTCAAAAATGGCACCCTCCATCTCGAATATTGTCCCACTGACGACAATCTTGCTGATATCCTCACTAAAGCGCTGCCACGGCCACGCCTGGAGAAATTATGTTCGAAGATGTCGTTGGGAATTAGCGGGGCCTAGGTGGTGATGATTGTGAGCCGAATCGAGAAGTTGCGTTCGAGGGGGAGTGTTGAGATTGGCGCCGAGACGCAAGGTACGAACGCAGTCTCGGTTCGGAAGTTCCCGCGCTGGGCGCAGCGCTAGAAGATTAATCGTATGATATTCATTTGCGGACAGAAAATTTACTTACAAAACGAGTCGTTGAGATAGAAACATCTCAGTCCTGTCCTACTGACTAGAGACTGAGATGTGAGTACAGATACCCACTTAGACTGCCTGTATATTGATGAACCTACTATTAGATATTCGTTTAGGTACATACCAAGAGTCCTGTCCTACTGACTAGAGACTGAGATATATTCGTTTAGCCTTGCCCTCGCGTTATCAACCTTAACAACTTATGTCCTCCTCGTCACAAATCTAACCACTAGTTAAATGATCCTCTTCTGCATGTCAGTCACTATTTCTTAATGTTTGACTTCTAGTCACTCGGTATGCGGGTATTGTACTGTGGTACATCCCTTGTGATTAATGTACTTGCGCATCATACTTGGAGTCTCGGCATACGCATGTAATCATTGTGTAGATTAGCCACAAAGGCTACGTGTTTAAAGTCATATATGGTCTCTAACACTGGCTAAGCTAATCACCTTCCGCATATTACAGTTCCTGTTGCTTAACGTCTGACTCCCAGTTGTGTAGTTTTAAGACAGTGTATTGCGCGAAAAGGATTATAATTTCTTCACTTACATGCCATACTTGGTGGTCCGACAAATACGTATTATTATTATTTAAATTGGTCAAGGAGGCTACGTGTTTAAAGGTAGATATGACATTATCTAACCACTTACCATATTTTACCTGATTGCAGATATTATGACCATTATAAGGCGGATATAATGGTTGGTAACGTATCTTGATTTTCAGTGATGTAAGGGCAAGAGGGCAATTACACAGAAAGCTGACTAAGCCAATTATGTGGCTATGTAAGTATGCAAATTAGACTGTCCGAGTAATTCTTTGACGCAAAACGATGACAACAATTCTGCAAGCAGTTCGCCCTTTGCGTGCTGCTCGTTTTCTGCAGTCGGTGCGTTGGAACTCAAATGAAGTCCCACTCATCGATCCTTCGCGTATGATTCAAAGGCCTGACTTCCAACCATCCACTCGCAAGTCGAAAGGTGCTGCCCTCAGACCCCATCTTGGCGTCGAGGTAGACCCGAACCATGGCCTTTGGGCTTTTTTCAGAAAGAAGGAAGTCGACGGGGAGATGGTATATGTGAGTCTTGAAGGAAGAGACACGTTCCAAGATGATCCCGGTGAGTGTTAAATATTTTCTTTGTGTATTCTCGCGGGTTGCTCAGTCACTGTCCGCAGCGAGGTCATGGAAAGCAGCAGAACTTCGGCGAAAGAGCTTCAAGGACTTGCATACGCTTTGGTATGTTCTCTTGCGAGAACGAAACCTCCTTGCGGCCCAGAGAGAGGAGGCGAGACGAATTGGTGTCAGCAATCCTGAGAGTCTTGCTGGCATTAAAAAGGATGTTCAAGTGAGCATGCCATTTTTATGCCGGACTAAAGCATTGAATGTTTTTACAGTGTCGGAAATCAATGGCACGTATAAAATACGTGATTAACGAGCGGAGACTACTTTACGAGAAGTATATTGCTGAATTGGAAGCTAAACGCCAGCTCTTGGCATCCGAGCCGAAGCCCACGACAACTGGCGTTCAACCATCTCAAGATAAAGAAAATGTCCCTCGTACGCGCGCTGAGAGGCTGAAGGCACGACGGACCAAGAGGTCGAGTACACCCATTACTGTGTGACGCGACGAGGGAGTCGCGTCCCAAACTCTTGTACCATACTCGTAGTTACCCATAATTGCTTCGACCGAATCTACCATCTCCTGTGATGTTTGATATTACTGTGATGTTGTCCGTGATCCGCTTCGGCTTTGCTCCCAATCACTCATGGCTCGTGATATCTGGCAGTCTCTGACAGAGGGCTGCTCGTACATCTCCAGTTGCCTTCTACCACGACGGATAAGGTGCTCTATAGCTGCAACATTGCGAGGTGATACAGAAGATGCTTGCGTGTGAAAGTTGTAGCGCACGAAGAGGAGAAATTTTGGCTGGGTCAAAACTGGTTTGGTACGGACCATGCGTAATGCACTAGAGGATCCATCAAGAAAGTTTGCATTTGTCCCGACTGTCACTTACCGTCTATAGAGTGCTAAGACCTCCTTTTGAAGTCCCGACTTTCTCAATGACATCGCAGACAGTTTGGACGTTGGTACTGAGTCTGCGTGGAAGTATTACAACTCCGGTAACTCATGAAATGTTGAAGTTTGGTTGCCGGTCATTCTACATTTTGTCATGAGCCATGATCGTGATGCCACTGTCGCTTCGTTCTCATTGTCTACAGAGATTAAGTTCTTTTCGCCGGCTTCATACAAGTTCAGCTTTGCGTTCTGAGACTGGTAGTTTCAATCCAGCCGAATACTGCAAAGACTTGGTACGGAAACATGACTATGAAGGTTATTTGACGTCCCAGCTATACCCTAAACGATTTCAAGGTGGGTATCTAGCACTCAGAGCATTCTATGTACGTGTGACGCTTTACCGGTGTTTGACTGTCTTTGACTCGCGCTTTAGATCGAGCTTGCCACGGTGCGAGAGGCGGTGTCCCAGACTACCTTGGGTCAGGCACGCCTAATGTTCTGGCGAGATGCCATGAAAGATATTTACAATGTGGGTGGCACTTTTTTGAATACCGCAATCACCTGATGGTCTCTGTCAATGATAGGATAAGCCTCCGCGCCATCCTATTGCTCTTGCGATGTATGAAGCAACACGGGATAACCATTTGTCTCTATATCACTTTAACAGAATAATCGAAGCAAGGGTGAGCGATTCGTTTATGCGTTCACATATGGCCCTTATAGTTGTCTAACTTGAAGGAACAAGAACTTCATAACCAGACACACCTTACTCTGGAGTCCATGACATCACATGCGGAGTCTACTTCATCAACTTTCCTCTATCTTCTGTTGGAAATGCTGAAACTCCCCTCCTCCACGCTTGCGCACGCAGCCTCGCATCTCGGGGTAGCTCAATCATTGACGACCCTTATACGAGCTTTACCTTTTCATGCTAGTAAGGGTGTTATGGTCATACCCGCGGAGATCACTGCCAAGCATAACGTCAATCAGCAAGAAATTTTCAGCAAGGGGAAATCGTCCCACGGGCTAGAGGATGCGGTGTTTGAACTCGCAACTGTTGCAAATGATCATTTACTCACCGCACGCGACATGTTCAAGGAGTCCGGGGGCAGGGTCCCACCGGACGCCATGCCTGTGTTTTCCGCTGCTGTACGTCGGATTTTTCGGATTACTATGATGTTTGACGAATTTTTTTAGATACCAGTGGTGTCCATTCTATCGACGTTGGAATCGGTCAATTTCAACGTCTTTAACCCCTCCTTGCAGATCCGAGATTGGAGATTAGCGTGGCAAGTCTGGAGGAGTTACTATAAGAGGACTTTCTAAAAAGACATGCCGGCATTGCATCTTAGCACAATGTAGCGCCTGTAACGGTGTAGAACGTTGCCATTTCACGCATCTTTTCACTCTGAACAGCTTAAACTTCATGATACGATATTTTGTGGAACATTGTGATCGCTTTGGCCAAGGTTTTTTGACTTTCAAGATGCAGTGGTGGTTGAATTTAGAAGTCCGATGAAGTGCGTTCTCCGGCTGCACACCTCTTGACACCCAACCACATCATCGTAAACGCCAACCTCGTCAAGTCCCTAATCCTAGTCGTTAGGTTCCTTGGACGGAGTCAACTTGCGACTAGTGCTCTTTCTGAGCACTTCAAGCTTCTGCCTACCGCAGTCAAGAACCCTTCTACCACACGCCATGCAACGCCTGTGTGGTATGTTTTCTGATCATTCTTTTTCTCACTCATAACCTGAGATTTGCATAGATGAAGTCATCGAATTGATCTTCTACGAGCTCGACGACCCGACCGCTTTAACGCTCACTTCCAAACACTTTCACAATGTGTCCCAAGACCCCTACGTTCGAGCCCACTACTTTCTCAACCGCTATGGTCGCATGGATGCTATGTTTTGGGCTTTAGGAAGAGGGAAGATCATGTCCGACAAAGTCATCGACGTTTGTCACTTATTTCTCTCGCTGTGTCTCAGCGCTTCATGGAGCCTAACTGATTATATGCGCTCCCTTTGTCTAGATCCTAATCAGTAGTGGCGCATATGTATCCAGATATCTTGTCCAAGTCGCCATACACCATTATTTTAGGTCTGCAAATCATTTCATAAAGACCGCATGGGTTCGCAACATGTCGATTCCCGTTTTCGCTCATTTCATGAAGGTCGCTTGCGGGTTGTTCGATGAAGTACCATTGGGAAAGAATGAGGATGACGGTTATTTCTTCGCTGTATTTTTAAAGGAGAGTAGGCTTCCACCAGATATGAAGAGTACAAAGTGGGAGACGGTGCGAGATATTTTTGGCAAGTATAAGGTGCGCGGCGTCAATTTCCTTAATGGTATGGTTTCCTACGATTCGCTTTAGTTTATCCCGTTCAGCATGAAGGTTGGTTTCTGGAACGTCACAACCAGGCTTGGGTATACTCAAGGCGTCATCGTATAGGACCCCCTTATGGTGCAGTTACCGATCGCTCTCGCTATCGAGCCAAGATTGCTTCCCTATGCTGAAGCCAATGGATTCCACATGGACACCAAGGTAATCTTGCCTTTTAACACATCCACCACTAATACTAAAGAATTTGATAGTACCGCGACTTCGTCTTCCGTAAGATGTTTGAGAAGATGGCGCTCAACAACGGTGAGCGGTCCGATGACATTCTCAGGAATGTGCGCGAGCTGCGGCGTCTTGATGCTAGGTGAGAGCAAGCAGTCTTATTATAATAGTTTTTGCATGCTCAGATACGTATTCGCATTTCGTGGTCCTGATTACCTGCTAGGATGTTCCTGAGTCGCACAGTAGCAGCTGAAATCTGCATGGAATCAAAGAGCAATGAGTCGGCTTACCGTGCACTCAAGATCCTCGATCGTACCAAGGAACTCCTATTCGATCTCTCGTACGTACACCTTCTTTTGAGATCAACGTTCATTCACCTCTCATTCTTACTTCACTGACCCATAGCGCCGTCGTCGCTGAGTTGATCAAGGTGAATTCAGAATGGACTTTGTGTGGCTTTAACTTGAGCTCGGTTTTTAGCTATTTGTCAACACTCGTTCTATCACTTCCGCCTATACCATCAACGTTCTCAGACATCTATACGCCGATTTTCCTAGTACAGATCCAACAGTCCGCATTGTCATGCTCCTCACAGCATGTTTGTCGGATAATGTCCTGGTCCAGCCAAACCCCTCAGGTACACTGAAGAGCAAATTAGAACCCCTGGGTCTACTCCCATTGACGAGGAAGGATATTGTGGACATCTTAACCAATCCATTTGTTGAGAAACATTCAGCTCTTGTTGACTTCGCGAAGGACGAGATGAATCTCAGTTCGAGTGATATCAAAGACATCCTTCAAGAAGTTGCTGTGAAGTGCCTTAAGATTGGCAGTAAGGTGAGTGTTTGGACTAAAGATTGTGGTGGGCCATTATTTTGACGACTTTGATAAATAGGGGAAGACGCTCAAGAAACTCGTTGACTGCCATCCATATCTTCATGCGGTATTGCAAGAAAATGCGGTTCAGTGTTATGCGATAAATTTGGACGATCTTCCTTCGTATGACGATGAAGAGGCATGCGCTACATACGAAGCCCCACTATGTAGAGATTTCAACACCAGCTCGAAAGCCACACGGAATAGCTCTGTGGCTGCTGGCCTTCATTCGGCAGAGCCGAACGCTTCGGGAGACGCAATTGCTACAGATGGTCGCGAGATGGACGAGGATGAAAGTGGGAATGAAGGACCTGTTCAAGCTGAAAGCGGGAACACGTCAGAATTGGTTAGTGTATTGTTGCTTTTAACGTCGAAACGTTTGCTCACAACGTTGCAGGGGATCATCGGTCAAGATACATTGTCCTCTATGATTCGACAGGACGAAATGGCTCCCACACGTTCTCGCAGGCGGTCTTTCTATTTCAGCTACTTTGGATCTGACACCACCGGAAAGCTCGGGTACCCAACAGGTAATGATTGAACCTCATGCATATACAACCATGAATGTTCATAATGCATCGCAGACTTCATTCCAGTTGGTCGATGGGTCAAAGAACGATATCCGGTCCGAAGTGCGATGGCTGCTACGTTCCTGACACACGCCGTGATCAATAACAACACTACGGTCGGTGCGGCATTCCCCTGAGGAATGATCCCTCTGACACAATAGCACAGCTTCTTCATGTATTTTTCACATGCAATACCCCCTCAACTAACTATGTTTCAACATCACAACATGTACCTGTAACACTCAAGCATTTCAGGCTACTTGCACGCCTCGGAAAAGCACCGGTTAGCATAAATCGATGGTAGGGTGTACTTTTTGCTGACTGTTTCTGAACCCTTACTAGAACTGGTGTCTTTACCACGAGATTGAGAACGGCGCCGAATTTTACTTTTCTGAAGAAGACTATCTTTCGAAGCAACCACCAGCGACGGAACCGAAGCGGTGTAGCAAAGTGAAAGTGAAGTCGAAGGAGACTAGCCCCACCATCCCTCGTTTATCTACCCAGGCCGGTCCGTCGAAGGTTCAAGTTTCTCCACGCGCCACTAAACGGAGACCGCGGCGCTCTGCGGCCGCTGTCATGTCTTATGTCATCCCAGATTCTGATGATGAAGCTATCGTTGAGGATGATGACGAAAATGCTGTTGTCGTCCTCATGACAATGCAGGCAAAGAAGCGAAAGGTAGAGTCGAATCTACAACGGTGGGTCAAGCATCTGTCAGTGTTGCTGGCCGAGGAACAGAAAAAGGTACCGTTCTTAATCAATCAACTTCTCTTCAAATGTCAACCTTTGTTTCATAGTACAAGGAAAAACGCAAGCGTCTTGAGAAGAGTGCGCCTTCCGAGGGAAGACGTCGCGTTGCAAAGGTAGTCATTCATCCTCTCTTGACCTGGCCCTTGTCTGATAGACGTCCAAATTTAGAGCGAGTTTCATAAATCATTGATGGTCAATCTTCGCTCTCTACGAAAACTGGACCTAGATAAGCGGAAACAACTTTATGGCCCAGACGCAGCGGAAGATGATTACTTCACCGAAGATGATGGTGATGATGAATATCGGGAACGGACAACACGCGCTAACAAGAGGCGCCGTGTGACCACGTAGCTTTTAGTGTCCATTATGTTTATATCATTATACGCGTGCTCGCCGCACGTTACGCACATACTAATATCGCATCGCATCACACTACCCACTACGTTATATTCCTTCTGGAAAGTCGTTTAATGGATGTTCAGATGACATGTAGCAATCTGCTCAAATTCGGTATCTGTAGCGCACAGAACGATCACCCAACCTGATTCTCTCTTCCTCGGTTTCATCCTTTGATTCGCCCTTTGACAATAAACGATCTCGCCTCTTGTTCTCCATACTCATCATGACCCACAAATATGCGGTCATTACGATTGCGAACAGGAGATAGCCGATGGCTATAAGATTGGGTGTGCGGTACAGGTGACTGGCCAGTGTGGGCCTGTAGATCAGACAGCCTGCAATCGCGCCGATATCGCCGACGCTGATTTGAAGGGCTACCGCAACTGCACGTTTAGCCTGACCAGAAACGTTCTCCCCAGGCCAACTGTGACATGTTATGAGCTAGTGGAGCGCAACTGGAGTTACCTGAACAGACCTCAGAAGAAGCGAATTGCCTGTATACACGCCGGCTGTATCAAATCAGGACATATGAGCGACAAAGCCTCGACTAATTTTCTGCGACTCACCCGCTGCGAGGTGTACTCCAAAATATTGAAGACCGGCTGTTATATGTATGAGCACGCGTTGCGCCAAACGACTGGTCAAATTAGGTAACTTACGTTTCGTGCAAGTGATGAGAAGGATATATCCTTGAGGTTCATGAGATAATTAAAGTGCGTGGCAAAAATGCTCTCACCAATGATGGATACAATTGCAGCTCCTATGATGAACGGCGCTCTTGCATTGTACTTGCTTGAGAAATATACTGTGGTCCATATTGAGAAGCTTGCGAGTACATTCGGGGGAACGGTCATCCTTGGTGTGAATCTACATCAACATTGGATCGAACTTCGAGATCAAAGGCACCTACAGTTGAGCCTGCCATGTCTCGAACCCGAGTCCCGCGATGATTGTAGGCTAGAACAAACAGTCAGCATCATTCTTGATTTCCTTCAATGACGAACGTACCAGGAAAAGGCTGAGCGAGTACAGTACAAAAGAGAATCCATGGAAGAGGAATGCATATGCCCAGACTAAGTGATCGCGAAAAGCATCTCCGACGGACGACCATTTGAAAGTTTGGTCAGTCCCCGCATCAGAATCTGCTCGCAATCTATCTAGCAGGCGCGTTTTTTCTGTTTCAGATAACTGTAAAAGTTGACGTTTGTGGGTGACGAAACAGAAGGAGAACACGCACAAATTTGGCCTTGTGAGACCAAGTGGGCACAATGAAATATGCGATAAGGGAAATGACCGCTGTCAGTAAACCTTCAAGAATGAATATCCTTTTCGACGTTGTGTTAATGAGGTGATGCCTGAGAACACGAACATACCATTGCCAACCGCGTTTTCCGCCCACACCATTCATCAATCCAATGCAATATGCAAATATCCCTTCAGAAATTTAATCGAACTGCAGCCATACCCAGAATGTCTAGCATACCTCCAAATGCCCCCGCCAATGCCGAACCACCGAAGAAAATTGCAACTCGCCAACTCCGTTCGCGTCTATATAATACAAAAGCGGTTAAGCCCCGGTATGCATAAGAGTCCAGCATTGTGCTTCTCACCTCAGGTAATATACTGAGAAGACGTATATCACACCGGGAAACAGCCCAGCTTCCGTGGCACCAAGTACTGACGATAGATAGGCAATCAGCACCAGTGCCTCCAGAGTCCACACACATAAGCCAACATACAGAATCTGATTCCAAATAACCCGGCTTGGTTCTTGACAAGACCCTGGCCAATAGAGACGATACCCCAGGCAAGAGTCAATGACGGGAGCCAAACTTGTGGATTACATTTCTTCAGTCTGCACAGCGACGATAACAAGTTAGATTCCCCTCTAGATCAGCATTGATGGAAATTGGTATCACATTATCTAGGGGAAATGAGGTTAGCCGAAGAAGTGAATTGGAATTTGCGGCACATACATTAGCAGGGATCTCGAAAACAATATAACCGACAAAATATATGGCCAAAGCGGTGTTATAACTAGCAGCAGATACGCCGAGATCCTATGATGTAGAACGAACATCACATGTCAGGCCCAGGGTTCAAATCACGAAAAGCGTAAACCACCGCACAGTTGTCATTCCATCGAGTCTACATGTTATGTAAATCGTCAGCAGTGCAAGACTCAAGTACATATTAGCTTTGCTTACTTCGCATTCCCGATGTTTGACCTTTGGAACATTATGAGCTCACAATGCAGCTAGAGTCAGATAGATAACAAACCTATCCAGGAAACTAAGGAGGTAAAGCAGAGTGAAAACAGGCAGAAGTCTACGGTCGACCTTGCGTAAAAGTCTGTGATCCTCTACGGAAATCTCGGGCTGGTCCTCCTCAACCACGTAGTTCTTTTCAGATACAGACATAGTAAGTTGAACGTGACTGGTAAGCACAGAATAGCATTTTGCACCTATACGATTCGCTTATACGTTGCAGGAACATACGCAACTGATGGGCGAGATGGCGTATTGGAAAAGCTGTGTTAAGGGAACAAAGATATCATAGCTCATTTCCACGAACTCTCAGAGGTCAGTCTCACCACCATGATGGACACGGCTGTGGTACCTGAGAGTATACATAGACACTGAGGGTCAGGTGATATGGTCGTCACGGCGACGCGCCTGTGACGAGGCACTGTCACAAATCAAGCACTTACGCTCGAAGTTAATATCATGTAATAATAGCCTGAGTGCTGAATCTACTTCTCACCAGATTTACAGTGCTTCAAGTTGTCCTCTTTGTTCGTACTATGTAGTGTCCATCTCGTGTTTGTGTTGTATCTATGATCATTGATCTAATGTTGTCTTTCAGACGCAATGTGAAGTATTATCTCACTGTCTAGCAGGCTCGACCGGATCTTGTCAAGTCTGATGCAGCCTCCAGTACTCTGTACTACTAGTACAATGTCAAGCAACCATTGTGCCACCATGTTGACAATCGCAGTCTCTGTACTAATATCAAGCTCCATACTTACCTATGCCATGTTCAAGCTTCAAGCTTCAAGGCCCACTTGCATGCTGCGCATCAATCATAGCACATGCTGCGTCACGGCCGCGTGAAACCTCACCCACGCCGCGTCACAGCTACCACATGCCTTGCCACTTCAACTGTCGCACCACTCAGCCTTCACATGCTTTAAGTAAGTAATCCTGGAATCCGTGACTCTTGGCTCGCCTCTCAGACACTATAGCTAAAACATAGATGTTCCGCACATTGAAACGGCTCCTGTTACATATAGAACTGTTGCGCTCCCTCCCTCGGCTCGTGAGACACCACTCACAGGAGCTATTTCATCTCCGCATGCGGCACAGCACAAAATATGTGCCGGGCCAGGGACCCTAAAGTGTCAGTCCTTCTAGTAGCAGGACTGGCACTTCAGGTACCCCCAGTCCTTCTACTACATGAACTTGACGTGAGGAAAATATTGCCTGCCCTATTCATTAGGTCTCTAACTTGTGTGATTGACAGCGTGGCCCCTTCGTTAGCGATGACTCCGATGCCATATCTTCGGAGTCTGCAAACGAGTTATCCGAAGTTGTAGCTCCTTCGCTCTCGGCTGAAGAGGGCTGAAGAATGTGCGCCGTTAAACGTGTCGACGTGCTTTGCAGAGGGTCCAGAGAGGGATGGAAAAAAAGACATTGGCTGGTGTAGCTAGTAGTATGTCCCTATGATGAACAAAATGATGAAGGAATAGTCATGAACCTGCACAACTTGATCTGGGAGTTGAATTGGAACACTTGAGTCTTGCACTGGCTGGCGCGACGATCGTGGAAATCACCTTCCTTTTACGTCTCAAGTATCGGCTTGTGCCAAGTCGCGCAGTACTAAGTTCGTCACGAGCGGGTCATCATGGAGGGTCTCTTTTTCAACGTGGGTATACACTATCGACACGTCCTCTAAAGCTAATGGAAGCGCACCTTCTAGGTGAACAACGGATTTCTGGAAGGAATCGTCCGAGGCTACAAATCTGGCATACTCACTCAATCTCACTATGCCAGCTTGACTCAGTGCGAGACATTGGAAGGTCAGGAAGGGAGGGGAAATAAGCCAATTCTTGCTCACGCGCGCTTGACATAGATTTCAAAACGCAGCTGTCCGCGACTGACTATGGAAACTTCCTCGCGAACGAACCATCCCCGCTGTCCACCTCAACTATAGCAGACAAGGCAACACAGACTCTCGTGGATCACTTCAACTTTCTTCGCAGCAATTCTGTTGAGCCTCTGAGCAAGTTTTTGGATTACATCACGTGTGTAATGATCAATCATATGTTCCTGCGCTTATAGTTTGCAGGTATGGGTACATGATCGACAATGTCGTCCTACTCATAACGGGCACGCTCCACGAGAGGGATACGCATGAACTTCTCGAACGATGTCATCCACTGGGCATATTCGATACCATGCCCGCATTATGTGTGGCAACCAACGTAGAAGAGCTCTATCAGAGCGTATTGGTAGAAACGCCTCTAGGTATTTGTCCTGGCACGACCCCAACCCCACATACTAAATACCACGATCAGCGCCCTACTTCCGCGATTGCCTCTCTGCTGCTGATCTTGATGACATGAACATCGAGATCATCAGGAATACCGTCTACAAAGCGTATCTCGAGGATTTCTACAACTATGTCTCCACTATTGGTTCAACAACTGTGGAGGTCATGCACAACATTCTCGCCTTCGAAGCTGACAGACGAACGATAAACATCACCATCAATTCCTTTGACACAGAGCTCACCAAGGAGCAGCGTGCTAGACTTTTCCCTGCCATTGGGCGATTGTTCCCCGCAGGTAACAATGCTCTCGCCAAAGCAGATGACATAGACCAAGTTCGTCAAGTGTGCGATAACGTCGGCGAATATCGTTCATTTTTCGACAACTCGGCATCAGTCCAGGGCAACGGAGATCTTGGGGACTTTGGAGTAGCTGCACAGCTGGAGGATCGTTTCTTCCGCATGGAGGTACACCTCAACAAGCTGGCTTTTCTGCAGCAGTTCCAGTATGGCGTGTTCTACAGTTATGTGAAGCTGAAGGAACAGGAAATCCGAAACATCACATGGATAGCAGAGTGTATTGCGCAAGATGCGAGGGACAGGATGCACGATTTCATACCGATATTCTGAATGACACTACCTATTCGTACACTTTCACCTAATATTCAGTCCGAGTCATTCGAGTAGCATACGAATGTTGGTTGTTCAAGCATATCCACTTTTTCCGGGGACAATTGCGAATGCGGGACCCCCCTTCGCAAACATCTTCCGCACATCTTCAACAAGCTCTTCTGGCCGTTCAGAGGCAGCAAAATGGCCTCCTGTCTTATGATGAGACTCGATTACAACGTTGTTCACCCTGCGGAACCACCTGTGATTTCATGTTAGCTTCGTGGCAGCAAAGCTAATCGATAGAACGCACGCTGATGGGAAGACCAGGAGCTCTTTGGGGTAATACGACGCTCCCAAAGGAATGGTAGGGTAACTGGTACGACCGATATCGTAGAAATCGCTATACACCTCGGAGTAAATGCGATGGGCAGCACCGGGACCAGCACGGGAGAACCAGTATATAGAGATCCATGTCAGAACTGTTTCAAAAGTGGGTGAGTATTATACTAGGAAGTGGGACTGCTGCTACCTTGGTCATCGGTCCATCTATAGTCGTCAGTCCAGGTAACCAGTTTTTCATAAATCCAAGCAAGCAGAGCAACAGGGCTATCGGTAAGACTGTAAGCGAGTGTCTGCGGGAAGGATCTCTGCTCAACAAAGTAGCCGGATCCTTTGTTGCGATACCACGCGGTGCGTTCAAACCCTGCCTTTTCCTCTGCGGAATATGGGGTTAGCAGGTACGACAAGAAAGACAGAGGCGATTTCCAGGTCGGTGGGTCGGCCCTAGTCAAACATGAGATGAGTTGGTAGGCAAGCAGTGAGCGGGAAAATGACATACATCGGAAAGTTGGTGTGCCATGCCTTGACATGCTTTCCACCATACTTAGCAGCCATTCTTCGAGTGACCTGAAATTATATCAACGATAAATCTTGTCTACTTGTGAAACGTCACTTGCGACGAAACCCCAGTCGCCTCCCTGGGTCACTGCGAGAAAATGAGCAATCCATTGTAAGAGATGATGGCAATAGCGATATACCATACTCGTTGTACCCGAGGGAAATCATGAGTTTGTGAGTTACCTATATACACCAGTTAACATTTTGAGAGCTTAGGATGTGCGATGAACAATGACTACCTCGGCATATTGATCAAGACCAAAGCCTGGTTTGTGAGCGCCCTCCGAAAAGCCAAAACCAGGCAAGCTAAGCGCCACAACATGGAAGCTAGGATGTTTAGGGGACGACGCAGTCAAGAGGGACAAAATTCCCCTGATTTCTATGAAACTTCCAGGCCCTGGCTAGTGTAAGAAATATGTCGGTAAGTGTGTATAAGACCTACATCCATGACAAAATAACAAGGGAATGGCGTCAACAGTTTCGCTCTTCTTGTGAACATAGTGAATGTTCAGCGCGCCGAAACCATCCACGTCGATGTCGCGGGTGAACATCGGCAGCTCTTGGTTTAATTCCTTTTCATATTTGCGCCAATCGTACCCATTTTTCCACCTCTCCACGAGCCGCTTCATATCTGCCAAAGGTGGGCCGTGGTTCCATTCGATACCCTGGAGTTCATTAGGGAAAGTGGCAAGCTCAAGTTTAGCACGAAGGATCCTGAGTTTCTCGTCTGGGATGTTGATTTGAAAGGGGGTTTCAGACGGCATAGTGGTTGAAGTGCGAATGAGAGTGTTAGATCGGGGTCCATCCTGTGGTTTAATAGCTGCAGAGAGAAGAGAAAACCTTATGTTTCGTCTGGTGGGAAACGTCTATTCAAGACTTATCTCTTGTGTCTTCATTCTAGACCATCTTTAAATAAAATGCGCCAATCAATAGAACATGTTGTATCTTTGCCAGTACTTCCATAAGACACCGTGCACCTTGTGCTTTCCTTTTTATTGACACAGGCGAGGGCCTTCAGCCAGGACATATGAGATTAGGACATGTCTGCGCGTTGTGACTGGTATATGATGTCAGGGAAGTTGGCGCACAAGCGATATAACGGTGCAGAGTTGTCCATGCGCCAATACGTCCGAGCATCAGTCGAGAACCCGAAAGACAGCGAGTTCTGACTCTCGCAGCTACAATATTAAATATAGTCGCATAAGCTCAAGGTCGCTTTCGATATATCGTACATGGAGTATCTAGGGTGAAAGGTGAACATAAGTCGGATAATTTCGTGGTATATCCACAGATCATAAGTGCAAATATGCATTATAATCACCGTCAACTTTTTCAAGAATGTCGGCATTGAAATCGTCGACGGAGACATTGAGCAGTGACCCGTGAGTGATTGGCACAATCGAGGCATGCATTTGGATCGTACTAGATTTTAGGCTGGAATAGGAAGTTGATTGTGTCTTCGATATTTGAGCCAGGGAGGGGCGTTGACAGTAAGTATCCGAGTCCTCGTTGATGCCATCGATGAGTGAATGAGTGAAGGCGCGGAGCCTACAATCGAGCGACCACCAGGTCCCGGTATTGCAAAAGAAAATCATTCTATCATGATAGCGGAAAAGATCTGTGACACACATGGTGAGTAAATATTACTGTCTCGTCCACGCACTGAGCTAGCTAGGGAGCTACTTCACGTACAGTAGTCCTATGTGGCCATTGAAAGGAAGTCCTCCAAAAGGGAAGTTCGGGGAGTCGTGTACTAAGCGACTCCCCAAAACTTTTGTCCAATGGCAATCCCAAGCAATCCCCCCAAAAATGGCCAAAGTGTGAAAACTAGAGACTCGACAGCACAACAAGTTTTACCATTGTGACTATGATAGGCTCGAGCGGTCCGCGGTCCACAGGATCGAAGGAATGATAGTATGGGCGGCGATACATAGGTGAAGTAATGACTGTAATTTCTCATGACCTTGGCATCTGGAAGGGTGGATGTCCTAGCTTAGGTGAGCGTTTGTAAGTCAACATTTCTGGCGGTGTACGAAGTCCTGTTGCCTTTTACGGATATGCACGAGTCTGAGCTTGAGCGCTTGAGCTTCGACACAACTTCGACCTCGACAATCATCCTCGTGAGGTAGATCAGATTGGCCAGGTGATCCTTGTTCTCGTCACTTCAATTGTTCGCAACTCCGCATGTGGGGTAAATAAAAGACTTGATGCTGGCTTATCATCTCCTCGCTATAAGCGACTCGGGGCCCAGTGAGTACGTGATTTTCACATCTTTATCATGTTCGTGGCTTCTGGAGTCTGGACCTCAGTTTTTTGCTCCGGGTCGCGTTGTTATCAGCGATATTGTGTGCGCTGAGGAAGTGCTCCTCCGCAGATTCTCGAGTCTACAGTGTCAATCATTGTTCACACCAATACATGATACTCAGGCTCATCATGATATATTTGTTCCACGATAATCCACCCGCACTGTGCTGATTTGGCGGCTTCTGTTAAATCATTATTGCTGATTAAAACCAACCCTCCCGTCTCACAGCCTTGTCCCGTCCCAAGCTTTTACTGCACGTGGTGCTAATAAAAGTGTTTAGACCAAGTTCTCTGGCGGCTGATGAAACTCGATAAACCTTCACATCTTCTCTAGGCTACTATCCTTGAACGTTCATCACAATATATCTCGTGAGCAATAGCGGATCTAGCCAATAAGATGTAATAACTGCTCTGGGGTGGGGCATAATATTTATTCGTTGATCGCTAACCCAATACTACCGTTTCTAGTGCACCGGGCGAGGATCAACACCACAGCCCTTGAGAGGCAATCTCAACGCAGATGAGATAACTAGGTGCAATGACTGAGATATTCCGTCACCTGGTGTCTGAATTTCTTACCAGCCAGGTTCGATATCAATGCACTGTGCATTGTTGCGGTCATGCTCTTAACATGATACATATCAACGCCAACATCAGGCTGTCCGTGTACTGTATGTAATGCTGTACTTACCAGCCACCCGTCATTAACTGACCAGCGCTAGGGGTGCTATACATTACTAGAATTTGTGAGCTAGTTTATCCTGTAGAGAGTTTCAGCTTGACCCACGTTTGAGCCGTACGTCCCAAATATATTATGCAGCCGTATATCTGAGACACATTCACACATCTTCAGGCTACCGCAGCCTTGCCATCCAAATGAGGTTCGAGAAATTTGGATCACCAACAGCACATGCCACTGTATCGATACACGGCGAGAAGCAGGGGAGGTATCCCTAATGGTGACTCGTTCGGGGATGGGTCGATCTAGGGAACCAAAGGATATGTTTAGACAGGAGAAGAAGGTTCCCAAATAGGATGGCTAAGGAACGTTTGGCCGTGACTGTTTCCCGGAGATTGATACAGAGAAGCGCAGGAGTATGACAGGAATTAAGGTACATCCTGAATAGGATAGCTGGTGAGACTTGAGAAGCTGCTTTGCAGCCCTGGCATGAGTATTGATACAGGGAAGTCTGTATGTATACTGACCGAGAAGCTGCTTTTTAGCCCTGATACAGCATACTATTGTGGGGGTGGGGTCCTCATTGACTATCCCTGGTTTGTATTGAACACTGATATTTCCACAGGCTTCCTCCCCGCACATCGATGCATCAGCCTCCGAGATAGTCGACACACAACAGGCGCACGCCATCCGGGGTCAGCTGCGCTCTCTTTTGCACAGCTCTCGACTCATACTCGGACGTGTTTGCGCACGAACAACTTTATACCGCTCCGAGTCTCGCTTATGCGCCCGTCACGACACCCAATCATGTCCTAATCTCATATGTCCTGGCTGAAGGCCCTTACATCAACAAAAAGGAAAGCGCAAGGTGCACGGTGTCTTATGGAAGTACTGTCAAAGATAGGATTACCGCATTATTATTTTTAAATGGGCCAAAATGACGATACAAGAGATAAGTCTCGGATAGACGTTTCCCACCAGACGAAACAAGAGGTTAGCTCTTCTTCGTGCAGCTATTAAACCACAGGATGCACCAGGATGTATCAGTAACTCCCTCACTCGCATTTCGACCGCCATGCCATCCGAAACCCCCTTTCAAATCAACATCCCTGACAAGAAACTCAGTATCCTTCGAGCTAAACTCGAGCTTGCCACTTTCCCGGATGAACTTCAGGATATCGGCTGGAGGCACGGCCCGCCTTTGGCAGACATGAAGCGGCTCGTGGAGAGGTGGAAAAACGGGTACGACTGGCGCAAATATGAAAAGGAATTAAACCAAGAGCTGCCGATGTTCACCCGCGACATCGACGTGGATGGTTTCGGCGCGCTGAATATTCACTATGTTCACAAGAAGAGCGAAACTGTTGATGCCATTCCCTTGTTGTTTTGTCATGGATGTAGGTCTTGTCCACGCTTACCGACATGTTTCTGACATTAGCTAGGGCCTGGAAGTTTCATAGAAATCAGGGGAATGTTGTCCCTCTTGACTGCGTCGTCCCCTAAACATCCTAGCTTCCATGTTGTGGCGCTTAGCTTGCCTGGTTTTGGCTTTTCGGAGGGCGCTCACAAACCAGGCTTTGGTCTTGATCAATATGCTGAGGTAGTTGTTGTTCATAGTACATCCTAAGCTCTTAAGATGTTGACTAAAGTATCTAGGTAACCCATAAACTCATGATTGCTCTCGGGTACAACGAGTATGGCACGTCACTGTTGCCATTATCTTCTACAGCGGATTTGCTCATTTTCTCGCAGTGACAGAGGGAGGCGACTGGGGTTTCCTTGTGAGCGACATTTCACAAATAGACGGAATTTATCGTTAATATACTCTCAGATCACTCGGAGAATGGCTGCTAAGTATGGTGGAAAGCATGTCAAGGCATGGCACACCAATTTTCCGATGTACGTTCTTTTCTCGGTCACTGCTCGCATCTCATGTTTAACTAGGGCCGACCCGCCGACTTGGAAATCGCCCCTGTCTTTCTTGTCGTACTTGCTAACCCCTTATTCCGCAGAGGAAAAGGCAGGACTTGAGCGCACCGCGTGGTATCGCAACAAGTCATCCGGCTACTTTGTTGAGCAGAGCACCTTCCCACAGACACTCGCTTACGGTTTTACGGATAGCCCTGTTGCACTGCTTGGTTGGTTTTACGAGAAATTGGTCATCTGGACCGACGACTACAAATGGACTGATGACGAAGGTAGCAGCAGTCAGTCACACTTCCCAATACAATACTCACCTGCTACTAAAATAGCTCTGACATGGATCTCTATATACTGGTTCTCCCGTGCTGGTCCCGGTGCTGCCCATCGCATTTACTCCGAGGTGTATGGCGATTTCTACAACTTGGGTCGTACTAGTTACCCCACTATTCCTATGGGAGCGTCGTATTTCCCAAAGGAGCTCCTACTCTTACCCTCAGCGTGCGTTCTATCAATCAGCTTTGCTGCCACGAAACTGACATGAGATCGTAGGTGGCTGCGCAGGTTGAATAACGTTGTGATCGAGTCCTATCATAAGTCAGGAGGCCATTTTGCTGCCTATGAACGGCCGGAAGAGCTTACTGAAGATGTGCGAAAGATGTTCGCGAAGGGGGGTCCCGCATTCGCAGTTGTCCCTGGAAAAAGTGGATATGCTTGAACAACCAACGTTCGTATGCTACTTGAATGATTCGGACTGAACATTGGGTGGAAGTGTACGATAGGTAGTGTCATTCAGAATATCGGTATGAAATCATGTATCCTGTCCCTTGCATCTTGCGTAATAACCATATGATAATTCGACCCTGTTCCTTTAGCGTCACATAACTCACATGTTCTTCATCAGTGTGCCAGAGATGATTCAATCCAGATGGACTATTTCGCACGGTAGCTGAAACAACAATACGACGGTTCTAGGAGATACCTGGTGGAGTGGGCTCTGCCAATGTGTACGCTGGATTGTACAACCCGGTGATGCGTTGCTCTACTGCCCTTCTGCTAACTCCGCCCCAAGCACTACCGAACCCCTCTGCCACCTCGCGAGCAAACTATACTGATTATGATACCGAAATTTTGAATTACATTGGATATTTGTACACTTGCACTCAATATTCATTCCAAACGCGAGGAATGCTGGTTGTTCAAACATATCCAGTTCTTCCGGGGACAATTGCAAACGCAGGGCCCCCCTTCGCAAACATCTTCCGTATATCCTGAACAAGCTCTTCCGGGTGTTCAGTGGCGGCAAAATGGCCTCCTATCTTATGATGGGACTCAAAAACAACGTTGTTCGACTTGCGCAGCCACCTACAAACTCATATTAGCTTCAGCAAAGTTGACTGGTAGAAACGCACGCTGCGGGCAAAACTATGATTTCCTTCGGGAAAAACGATGCTCCCATAGGAATAGTAGGATTTTGGCCTATATCCTCGCAATCGGCACGCAATTCAAAGTAAATGCGAAGGGAGGCAGCGGGTCCGTCGCGGGAGAACCAGTACAATGAGATCCATGTCAGCACTATTTGAAACAGTTGAGCGATATCCAGGAAAGCAATATTTCTGTTACCTTCATCATCAGACCAATTGTAATTGTCTGTCCAAAGGATCAATTTCTCGTAGATCCAAGCAAGCAAGCCAACAGGGCTATCGGTGAGACTGTAACCGAGTGTCTGCGGCTGGGTGCTCTGTTGGCTGGAGTAGCCTTGTCCTTTGGTATGGAACCACGTGGTACGTTCGATGCCTGCTTTTTCCTCTATAGACAATGGGGTTAGCAAGAAAGACAGGAAAAACAGGGGTGATCTCCAGCTCGGTGGTTTGGCGCTACATAGACGAGAATGAGTCGAGGTGTGTGCGGAGCGAGAAAATGGCATACATTGGAAAGTTGGTGTGCCATGCCTTGTGATGCCTCCCACCATACACAGAAGCCATTCTCCTAGTAATCTGAGGATATATTAACGATAAGTCAGGTCAACTTGTAACACATGACTCACAAGGCCACCCCAGTCACCTCCATGGGTAACTGTAAGAGAAATGAATAGATTCGTTGATCCACTCGAGGAATTACTCAGTAACGTACCATACTCGTTGTACCCGAGAGCGACCATGAGTTTGTGAGCTACCTGGGTACACAGTCGATATGTAGAGAGATTAGAATTTGTAATGAATAGTAGTCACCTCAGCATACTGATCAATACCAAAGCCTTGTTTGTGGGGAGCCTCCGAAAACCCAAAACCGGGCAAACTAAGCGCCACAACATGAAAGCTAGGATGTTCAGGGACGGATGCAGTCAGGAGGGGCAAAATCTTCCCGACTTCCAAGAAGCTTCCAGGCCCTAGTTAAGGTCAAAATATGTTGGTCTGCGAGCATGCAAATTGACCTACATCCGTGGCAAAACAACAGCGGAATAGCGTCAACAGTTTCGCTCTTCTTGTGAACATAATGAATATTCAGCGCGCCGAAACCATCCACGTCGATATCGCGTGTAAACATCGGCAGCTGCTCGTTGATTTCTTTTTCATATTTGCGCCAGTCGTACCCGTTTTTCCACCTCTCTGTGAGCCGCTTGATATCCGCCAGAGGTGCACCATACTTCCACCCAGCATCCTCCAGTTCATTCGGGAAACTAGCGAGTTCAAGTTTAGCACGGAGGGTAGTCAATTTCTCATCGGGGACGTTGATTTGGAAAGGAGTTTCAGATGACATGGTAGTCAAAGCGTAAGTGAGATATGTATAACTGGCTGAATCATACTATGACTATAGGAGGTACTGTATAAGGAAACTTCCCACATATCATGGGACACGCACCTCTTACCTTTGGAGCGTTCGGTCGCACTAAACAACACAAAACATGCACGTGATTTTACACCACAGCGTCCGAACATATAAATATCAGTTAGCAATGGATTCTTTCAACGATAAATAGATATCCGACCTGTCATCTTTTGGAGGACCTCTAAACCGGAGGACGGAAAAGCGCACGAATCAGACATAAGTCACTGAAAAAGAGAAGAGAGTATGAAGTCGCACTACGGTCAATGATAAACAATATGAAACATCAATAAATAATCACTATCATTACGTCATACGACTTGGACCGCTCAGCCATGAGGAATAGCATCACATCAAGTCTGTCATTGAGTGCATAAGTCGAGTCGGGTGGAAAGGCATCAACCAATGCATGATACCTCAGATGATGCAATAACCACCCAAAAAACAATAGTGAGTAAATGTCCAACTTATGTAACACTGGCTCCCCAAGGTGATCATTTGCTACTTCCCCTAGGACTGTGATCCATGTCTGTATCTCGTTCGGTGCTTTACTATGATGTTCGTACTTAGCGAGGGTTCCAACAGAATCTCGCAGTCGATGCCTCATCAGTTTGATAGGTATGCTTGAGGCTCTCTGACATTTCCTGATTCTCCACTCCACACTCAGCAGACCCCATATTATTGTCATGCTCATTCGCGAGAGACGTGCAGTTCAGCCATGAGTCTACACGATTCATTCCTTTCATTCTCCTTGGCCCATCGGATGGAGAAGATCGCATCTGAGCACTAATGAGTTATCGGCCATCTGGCTTCACGATTCGCAGTATTTATATGTCTAGATAGTGGAACACCAACGCGCAGAATCAGCTGTCAAGGCACTTTCGCTGATTCTCGTTGTATTTTAACATCACCCATCAGGGACCAGGTTACTTGCTAAACTCGGACGTTCCGGATAATTTCACCTTGCCACTTGGTTCAAGCGCGGCTGATTCGTTCCAGTAGTGATATAACGAGAAATAACTTTGCCTGGACCTTTCAAATATACTTTGAAACACCATGTGTTAAATAAATATCACGACGGATCCTCCACCAAATTTCTCCTCCCTGGAGACCACTCGGCAAGCATGTCCCTACACAGTACCAGCTGCTAGTTGATACATGTACGCTCCTGGAAAACAATCGAATTCATGCTAGTTTCTGCGTCAGAATTTTCCACGAGTTTGGCGTGGTCCCGGCACAAACATCTGCACGACCAATAAGAACACCTCCGAGTGTCGAAACTGCAATAAAATTCGAATTCTACAGAAATGATGAGCAGTGGTTGCACGTAAATATCAGTAAAAGATCGCCGCACCTCGATTTCTGCAGAGAGAACAGCAAGATGCAGGAGACACAAACAATGCTAACGTGTGCGAAACTTGAGCAGAAAAACATAACCACGTTCGCATCACAAGCTCACCTTGCAAAGTGAAGAATGTGAGATTGTTCCCGATGGTCGATCCTGTCGATGGGCCGAGTCGACGCAGCTCATGCTCCCGAAACCCTCTGATAACTCCGCTCCAAACGCTGCCGCCCTCTGCCACCTAACCTCCTCCCTAGGGGTCCCCTACTTCGCTAGTCATGATGTACATAAATTCGTGACCTTCGCAATGAATTCATTACCAGGGGAAGTTTACTCTCTGTTTGTTTTCAGACATCAAAGGCAAACACAAAATGACAGACGGGACTGGCAAGGTGGCAAATTCGACGGCTGATGATGAAGAGTCGCGAGCAAACCATACTGATTGTGCCATGACATACATGATACCGAAATTACATTGCCTGTTTGTATACTTTCACTCGATATTCATTCCAAACGTGAGGAATGCTGGTTGTTCAAGCATATCCAGTTCTTCCGGGGACAATTGCGAACGCAGGGCCTCCCTTCGCAAACATCTTCCGGATATCTTGAACAAGCTCTTCCGGCTGTTCAGTGGCAGCAAAATGGCCTCCTGTCTTATGATGGGACTCAAAAACAATGTTGTTCGACCTGCGCAGCCACCTACAAACTCATATTAGCTTCAGCAAAGTTGATTAATAGAAACGCACGCTGCGGGCAAAACTATGAGTTCCTTTGGAAAAAACGATGCTCCCATAGGAATAGTAGGATTTTGGCCTATATCCTCGCAATCGGCACGTAATTCAAAGTAAATGCGAAGGGAGGCAGCGGGTCCGTCGCGGGAGAACCAGTACAATGAGATCCATGTCAACACTATTTGAAACAGTTTAGCGATATCCAGGAAAGCAATATTGCTGTTACCTTCATCATCAGACCAATTGTAATTGTCTGTACAAAGGATCAGTTTCTCGTAGATCCAAGCAAGCAGGCCAACAGGGCTGTCGGTGAGACTGTAACCGAGTGTCTGCGGCTGGGTGCTCTGTTGGCTGGAGTAGCCTTGTCCTTCGGTATAGAACCACGTGGTACGTTCGATGCCTGCCTTTTCCTCTATAGACAATGGGGTTAGCAAGAAAGACAAGAAAAACAGGGGCGATCTCCAGCTCGGTGGTTTGACACTACATAGACGAGAATGAGTCGAGGTGTGTGCGGAGTGAGAAAATGACATACATTGGAAAGTTGGTGTGCCATGCCTTGTGATGCCTCCCACCATACACAGAAGCCATTCTCCTAGTAATCTGAGGATATCTCAATGATAAGTCATGTCTACTTGTAAAATATGACTCACAAAGCCACCCCAGTCACCTCCCTGGGTAACTGTAAGCAAATTCGTTGATCCATTTGAGGAATAACAGCGGTAACTCAGTAACGTACCATACTCGTTGTACCCGAGAGCGACCATGAGTTTGTGAGCTACCTGGGTACACAGTCGATATGTAGAGAGATTAGAATTTGTAATGAATAGTAGTCACCTCAGCATACTGATCAATACCAAAGCCTTGTTTGTGGGGAGCCTCCGAAAACCCAAAACCGGGCAAACTAAGCGCCACAACATGAAAGCTAGGATGTTCAGGGACGGATGCAGTCAGGAGGGGCAAAATCTTCCCGACTTCCAAGAAGCTTCCAGGCCCTAGTTAAGGTCAAAATATGTTGGTCTGCGAGCATGCAAATTGACCTACATCCGTGGCAAAACAACAGCGGAATAGCGTCAACAGTTTCGCTCTTCTTGTGAACGTAATGAATATTCAGCGCGCCGAAACCATCCACGTCGATATCGCGTGTAAACATTGGCAGCTGCTCGTTGATTTCTTTTTCATATTTGCGCCAGTCGTACCCGTTTTTCCACCTCTCTGTGAGCCGCTTGATATCCGCCAGAGGTGCACCATACTTCCACCCGGCATCCTCCAGTTCATTCGGGAAACTAGCGAGTTCAAGTTTAGCATGGAGGGTGGTTAATTTCTCGTCGGGGACGTCGATTTGGAAAGGAGTTTCAGATGACATGGTTGTCAAAGCGCAAGTGAGAGATGTGTAGTTCAATAGGAGGTACTCCATAAGGAAACTTCCCACAGACCAGATATGAGTCCGCTGGCAGGAGATTCCCATCGTCACTAGCAAGCTTCCGTACAGTGTTCGGTACATGACACTCCAAATTGGACCGTTCGAGTCTGTTGCATATCATACAAGTATTACTAGTGTAGCGAAATTTGACCATGAGTGACATTTCCTCCTATAGTGTTGCAGGAATGCGAGGATAAAAACCGTAAGGAAGTCGTGCGCAAGAGCGCTGAGCCTGGCCACAATGTTTCATCATCAGAAATATATTCGTGTTGACGCGGTCCAATCCTGGCGGAGTTCAAAACCTAACCTCGTCCATCCAAAAAAGTAGTAGATTGGCCCGACATATCCTCCTGCCGCGTTGCAAGAGTACGAGGTAGGGAAGTAGACAAGTCAACTTTCTACTTTGTTTCTGGCCGAGAATACCAGTAAGAAAACATCCTACCGTCGACTGAGGGCGAATGGCGGTAAGTACGACAGCCACTGAATCCGTGGAGCGACCGATAAATTACCGAAACCTAGATGCGGCTGGAGCCCGGATGTTTAAGTATAAGATATTGTTCGTCTCCGAATAGAAACAGTGCCGTGATGTTTATGTGACAAGTCTCTCGCACCAACCTAGTGATCCGTCTTAATGGCATAATGCATGCCAACATCGAAAGATATGATAGCTTCCTCTCAAGCCTGTGTACACCATCGTCCAGCACATGGACCGAAGCTCAGGAATCTGCGAGTATCTTTACAGATCTTGAGTTTGACGCAAGGCTCAGGTTTACTCTGCTAGGTTTTGCTCGAGCCCTACACATACATCACTGCCAACACGGGGAAAAAGACCACAGAAAAGCTTGTCCAAGCCTTCAACCTCTGGCTTAATGTTCCTAAGGACAAGCTTGCGGTCATCATCCGTGTTGTCAGTCTTTTCCATAATGCCGGTCTCTTGTACGTCTTTCCAAGAGTTATCGGACTGATTTCAACACTAACTAATCTTCATATCTACAGGGTAGACGACATTGAAGACGGCTCTCAGCTGAGACGTGGGATTACAGGCATGTCTGCTATTGGCGATATCCGTGAAGGGGTCATTGATATCTTCCAGTCGCGCATAAAGTATATGGCATTCCCCGTACCATCAATGCCGCCAATTACGTCTACTTCCTAGCATATCAGGAGTTGTCCTCCCTGAGGCCCAAAGGGCAGCGTCGCGCTTGTGATTCTAGTGCAAGTCCAGACAGTGGGCTCAGGGACGACAGTTCCACCGCCGAGAAACCCGAACGCCTTATTTCCGATCGCGACCTGGACCTTGTAGTGAATGGTATGCCATCCGTCACCATTGTTTCATAGACAGTCCTGACATAAAGACGAGGATAGCCGAGCTCATATCATCCCACCATGGACAGGGATTGGACATCCTCTGGCGTGATACCCTCAGCTGTCCCACAGAAGATGAGTATGTGCAGATGGTAAAAGACAGTAGGTCGTCGTCATTGTCTATAAGAAACCATTTTGAACATGGCTACTCAGAAACAGGCAGTCATCTGAGGGCTACTGCCAAACTCATGATGGCATGTGCTACGACGAACACGAACGTGTGAGTCTCAAATGGAGTCTTGATTTTTCGTGGATTGAATGACTCCCGTCCTAGTGACTATGTCCCTTTGTCCAATCTCATTGGAATTTATTACCAAATACGCGATGATTACATGAATCTCCAGAGCGATGAGGTTGGTCTCCAATCTAATTTTTTGGAGACGTGACCCGAATATTCTCTCAGTACACAGACACGAAGGGGTTTGCAGAAGATTTATCTGAAGGAAAATTCTTTTTCCCTGTTGTTCACGGCATCCTCGAACAGCCTGAAAACCAACTGATCATGGGTGAGTTCAAACATGTCGACTGCCACCTCATTTGATTTCAATGATATTGTCAGATGTCCTACAAAAACGTCCCGAGACTCCTACTCTCAAGCATCGCGCTATCGAGTATCTCAGAAACACCACCAAGTCGTTTGATTACACCCTAGCAGTGCTCCATAAGTTGGAGCAACAAGCCAGGGGAGAAGTTGAGAGACTTGGCGGAAACCCGATATTATCTGCGCTTTTGGACAAGCTTCATGTCGATGCATGAAACATCATGCCCTTCTTGTGTACTGTATTGTCATGGCTTACTGGCTTAGTCGATCCTCGCAAATGTCCAGATCATATGTGCCCGTTACTGCCAGTGGTAGTATGTACCACTGGAAAACTCGGTGACCTCGAGTATCTCATCGCACTTTAGTTCTCCGATGTTTACAGGCTGCGGAGATGGCCAAACATTAACATCGCTGTGTCATGCTGCTCCCTGGACAGACCCTAAAAAGGCATGCAGCCGTTCCTTATTGTCGATGTCATGGCTAAAATCAGTTATCAGTGGACGAGAAATAACCTGCCAGTGTTGCCAGGGTGTGGTATGAGAGTGCATCACATCGACTTACGTGTGGCTATTCTCACTATAACCTTCAACTCAAAGGCACCAGCAGCCGCGCTGGCAATAGCGGTCACTCCCTCATCTTGAGGTTATTTTCGAACCAAAAATCTTTACAATATCTGGCAAGTCCGTGCATTCAAATCCAGTGACGTCCTGACCTGCGTCCACAGGCATTGGGTCACTCTTAGGCATGTGTACCTTTGACTTTTCTCCGTCCTCTGATTTGCGGAGCTGTCCTGACCTCGCAATACATCTGGTGGAAGCCTGCTGTCTTAGCTGGGGTGAGTGGGTCGTGTGAAGCAGCGTTTTTGGTTTTCGGATGACAAGCTGTCTAGAGCCTCGCGACTGGCGGAAGCATTTTGTTCGCATTCACGCAGTTCATATTGAAGATCCGTCAAAAGACTGCAAGCATCTGCTCCAAGGAAACTGCTGTTCGATCTATGTCACATGTACAAATCATATACAATGTTCATGCCCTCCCCTATCGACATGTATATATGATACACATGCATACTTCTACTTGTCGGCGTCTATGGTATGGGTAATTGGACTGTTGTGTTCGACCACTGCGACGTCCTCTGTCTTTTCTCCGGATTCGGAGTCCTCAGTACTCCCGTTCCTTTTCCTTTCCTTCCTCTCAACCATCCATGGTCCCGCACCGCTGAGGTCGCATCCTCCTTCACCCTTACAAGTGCACGTGCCTCCCAGTATTTCTGGTAAGTTCTCGGCATCTACCACATCAAGTAGAACTTCTCTATAGTTCGAACCGAGAATGTCGACCTTCTCTACAGTCTCTTTTGCCAGCCAGGGCTTGATGATTCCCCAAATAAAGGTAAACGAGGATGGCGCGTTGATTATTAAAAGTTGACCCATTCTAAGACCATCAGTCAGTGAATCGATTAGACTAAGATGACGCTATAGGACGCACGTGTCGGGGAAATAATCCTGTGATATCTGGAATGAGGCTTGTGCCAATGATTTCACTTGCCAAAACTGTGATAACCTGAACGAACATCAGCTTATTGGCAGCTGGAAAGAGCCAACGACGAACCCAAACCCTTTGAGGTCCACAATTACGATCGATTGGTGAACATGCTTCCCTGCAGCACGCGATGCAGCTGGAAGTACTTCACGGGTAAGGGAATCGGCGTTTACAACAATAGCCTCCCAGTGCCTCTCTGGTGTGACATGCTTGTACAACTTCGGAAGGTTTAGCCCGCCAAAGAACTGGATGTTCACCGGTCGGCCTTTCTGAAAGGTAAGAATGTACCGATAACCATAGGTCAAGGACAGCATCAAGCACACCTTGTCTGTCTAAGATGGCCATCATGATTGCTGTCATTAGAATTCTCAACAAAAGTTCTAGTGGAGAACTTGCCTTATGAAAATACATAGACCAGGACTTGAATATTTCTTCCCGCTCGGGGTACTATAGGATAACGGAAAGTTTCCTTTGCAACTACAATTTAGAAGGAAAGAAGGAAGGACGTACGTCATAAGGATCTAGTCTGGCATATAACGCGTCTATCCCATCACCTCCGACGGTTTTCCGCCACTGTTGGCAATTCTGCAACATTTTCTTTGATTCAGTCAAATTGAACTTGCGTGCGCGAAGAAACCGACTGTAATGTGCACATCATGATACAGTGTTAGTTGAGTCAGGGCAGTGATGCTACATATGCCGAGAGCGGGGAAAAGGCTTACAGTAAGGTTGCGTCATCCGTCCCAACAGAGTCCCCTTCTCGAATGATTTCTTCATCAAATACTTGTTTGCGGAACACCTCCAACGTCTCCTTCTCTTCTGGCGTGAGTGACATCACTGACATTTTATGACCGGAGTATGCCACAGATGAGGTATAGATTCGGAGACAAGTGGTATATACCAGAGAGAAACCCCCGAGTCATCATCGCCGCATCGACAAAGCAACCGAAGTCCCAGGCTATTGATGCAAACTTGACCAAAACTCACGATGACTCAGAAGACAAACGTTCCAATCATTGGCAGGCCTCTATCATATGCACACCATCTTCGCCTGCTCTTTCCAAGTTCGCGGGATTGCTACACTGTGACTTATGCTTTGGCATAGAAAAAGTTTTGGACTGAGATGATCATGGGAGGGTTTATGCCGCGGTGCCCAATCGCAAACAATTCCCCATACGACCTATTCAACGGATGTCCAAGTCCTTATTTATTCATCCGTTTCGCTTACGGTCACTCAACTATCCACCGCACTTTCGAGAGTGAGGTTGTCGGCGCCATATTCTGGGAGAGAACAGAAGAAAAGCACAACAGCAAACATAGTGTATAGATATCTCTTCAAGTTGTAATGTGAATGTTCAGGGCAATTTCCAAAGCATGCTGATCTGGTTAAATGCCAGCAGCAGCTAGAATGCTATGATTGCAGGTGGAGGCAGCGACAAGAAACTTTGAGGTAGTAGTCCTCCGGGCGAGCGAGAGCACTATTGCTATGCAGAAGTTGGTCCGGAATATTTGGCAAGGTCGAGAACACCATACTATCCGGGGACCGTAATCGTGCCTTCAGGATAGCAACACACCCACATGGATACAGCGACAGTATGTGAACGAACTGTTGAAGCGAAAGCCAGCTTGCAAATAGTAAATACGTAAGCAGACGCCTAGTGCTATGTAGTAATAAGACACTTCATTTTCCTCTCAACGTCAACACTCGATCTCACCTAGATTAGCCCCATCACACCCACGCGTGGCTTTATTTCAGCACACGTAGAAATCAGACCAAAGCGAAATCTAAGCACCTATATCCTGAATTTCCCTTATCACAATGTCGAAATTTGCGCCTCACCGTCGGTCAAACAACAACCCAAGAGCGAACTCTGCAACCGTTTGTCAGAAGTGCCTCGGTACAGGTGCGTGTTCTCGTTTGGATGTCGTTGCAAAAGCAACTTGGACCGAACGAAATCATGCAGGACATTTCATATTCGAATGCAAGTCCACGCGTCCATACGTATCCCGTCCATCGCGGACAGAATTACTTGAAAATCCAAAGTTACTTGCGAAGCTGAAGGCAGAGGGAAAGCCTTCAGTCGAAGTGCCGGAGGAATTTAAAACAAAGTACGGTGACCGACGACCTGACCTATGCGATTGAATTTGGCTGACGTCCTGTTCCGTCACTTAGGAGTGGAACGGCAAACCGAATTTTAGAGTCAAAGGAGCAGGAACGACTGGCACTGGAGGAATCCAAAGGAAAATCCAAGGAGGAAGACGGCAGAGCTCGCAAGAAAGCCAGAAGGTTGTTTATAATTCACTTATTGTGCCTGCGTGGGCTGATCATCATCTTAAACAGGTCTTCGAGGTCCTCCTCAGACACTTCGGACTCGGAATCAGATTCAGATTCAGGGTCTAGCTCTGAATCATCTACCAGCTCTACGTCAAGTTCAGATGCCTCACGTTCGATTTCCAGAGATCGCAGCAGGAAGCGACCAAAGCGGCGAGATTCATCTTCAATTCGTTCAGCATCTTCATCTCGCAGTAGATCCAGAGACTGAAAAATGATCATCCACCGACATAGTTTGTCTGTGCTTTTATTCGGAGCCTGTATTTATGTAGGGAACAAAATGTATGTAATGAAGCATGAGTGATTAATCGCAAACACCCACGAGACCAGTAACCCTCGTGTTCATCAACAATGCAACGATGAGGCTGAAATGCACGCAAGATCAGCAAGTATGAGCAAGTACATATAAATACTCACCCGTAAAGCCCCAGGACCTCCGCAAAGATCAGGATGAGGATCATGGACACAAATATGCGTTGCTCGTGAACATATGCTCGCACGCACTGCAACCAGTAGTGAGATTCATGCATACATTCATAGTAGTTCAAAAGGCCCACCGAATCTCCGACGAGGCCAATAGCATAGCCCGCAGCAATGCCAGTCATTCCACAAGAAATGCCTGCTCCCAGATGAATGAAGCCTGCAGCCAGGGGATAATCTTTCGATGGGTTCACTACGAACCGGTCAAATCACGCAAACGTCATGCTAGGATTATATACTGACAATTTCCTGCGATGAGAACCGATACCACTAGTCCATACACCGCAATGATTCCTGCCATAACCACAGGCACAAGAGACTATATTATATTATGCAACGTGAATTAAAAGAAACCTGTTAGAGGGCTGCACTCGCCTTCATGATCAGTTCAGGTTTGAACGTCCCCAGGCCTGCAATAGCAATTCCAGCCTTTGCCGTTCCGAAGGCAGCACCAAGCGCTGTATTTGAGTGCATCAGATAACATTTGATAGCTCAGAGTCATGGCGTACTGCTGAAAATCATCTACGGAGGACTGTTATGATGAACTGAACACGGCACTCCGACTGCGATGACTTACAGCTGAAGCGACACCTGCAAAGCCGAAAAATGGCGCATATGGCGGGCAGAGTTCTGCTGGCATTTCAAGGAATGTCGTATATAGGTGGTTACTAGATGAGCGGAAAAAAAAGAATCTGCGCAAACCAAGTACTTGGACGTGACAAAGGGCTACGCAGGCGAAGTACGAGGAGCTCGTGTCACGTGACAATTCGCATGCTATTGTTCAGAGTTCAAATAGCAAGTCAATTTCAGGCAAGGACTAGCTGTCTACGTGGTCTTTAATGTTTTCATTAGGAATACGATCTCTATCGTATGCGTGCAATGATAAGTATGAGCACAAGTCAAGTCTAAGAAAGCAAAAGTAGGTGCCAGAGTCCAAACTACTTCTTTTTGACGGACTTGATACGAATTTGTTCATTACCAATGAAAACACCCTAAGCATGCATCAGTCTCCTCTTTCCCTATAATTTATGGTTGAAGATATGCTCACCTTGCCCTTGTATGGTTCAGGTGGACGCCATTTCCGTATCCTTGCAGCAAAAAGACCAAGCAAGTGCTTGTCCGTGCAAAAGAGTGTGATCTTCGTCGGAGAAGGCACGTCTGCCTTGATATGGGCAGGAATTGGCACGTAGACGTTATGAGAATGTCCCAGCTTCATATTGAGCCTCTGGCCATTGCCACCATTTGTCGTTCCTCTCGGGTCGTCCTCCAACGCAGCTCTGTATCCAACACCGACAAGATATATGGGAACAGTGAAACCCTCCGTCATTCCAACGACCGCGTTATTTATGAGCGTCCGCGTAAGACCCCACATTGACCGCTGCTTCTTTACCTCTGCATCTTCTACGGCTATTGTCAGCACATTTTCTTGCGGATACGCGAGCTTCATGTATGATTCCAGTGGGACGGACGTTGAGCCAAGAGGTCCCTTGACTTGGAGCGAAGTTTGAGATTGGGTGATAGTGACATTAGGTGGAATTGGGATGGGAGTTTTTCCGATATGAGATATGTGCACGCATGCGCGAGCAGATGAGCTGAAGTGTCGTAGAGTCTTGCTCAACGCCGCCTGCCGTGGTATCATGGCTTCTGGTTGCAACTTGTCTTTTACATAATTTAAGTTTTGACGCCACGGAACCTATATAATCACAATTCCTTATCTGGGTATAGAACTCGTGACCAGGGACGTATAGGTGAATGTGCATGTGCCATCATGATTCCCAAGTTGTCCTATCGAGTTTAGGCAACACACGTAGTAGCACGCTGTGACACGCCAGAGGATGACAGCCTGTGTTTGGCTTGGATCACACGCAACGAGATAAGAGCACGGTTTATCCTGGTCTATCCCAGGAATTTTGGTCCTCTTATCTCCAATTGCAGCCAATGACGGTACGCTCTCAGCTTCATTTGAGATGACTATATATTCGGCAGAATGCACTTCAACCCCGCACACCAGGTTTTCTCCTTCAGATAAAATGACCAAGTATAATGATACCGGCATTGTCACTGAGTCTATCAGTGTCAATAGTCAGGATGGCATCTCCCCCGTTCACCGAGAAGATAATATTCTCCTCCAGAAGCTTGGCTACAAGAGCCAATTTAAACGAGAATTCTCGGTATCAGCATTTCTTTTTTGCTTGCGTAGACCTGACTTTTATAACCCAGCTGCTAGAGACGATCTCATTCTCGATGGCTATCATGGCTGCCTCTTGTGGAGTCACTACCGGATATTCCTATCCTTTGCTTTCAGGTCAGTAATCCTCGGGGGCATGTATGAAAGCAGGAATTTGATTGCTATCCTTAGGAGGCCATTTTGCCATGGTATGGGCATGGCCCATAGCATGTGCATTCGTCATGTGTGTTGCTGCCTCGATGGCAGAGCTGGCTTCTTCCATGCCGTAAGTCTTTCTGATCACCATTGAATCATGTATATGTAATGAACGACCTCCTACGGTAGAACAAGCGCTGGGCTGTACTATTTCTCAGCGAAAATGGCTTCGAAGGAACGGTCCGCTCTTGCGTCTTGGATAACCGGATGGAGTAACATCACAGGGCAAGTAACGTTGATTTGCTCCATTGACTTCAGTTGGTTTGTGTACATTTTCGGCTTTCATGAATGACAAATTCATGCATGCCTTGTAGCACGGAACTCATCACTACAGCAATAGCAATGAGCACGGACGGCGCAGTGGTCTTGGGGTCGGGTGCAACATTTGGCATACTAATGGTCTCGTGACAAATCCACCATTTCTCTCTCTTGCTAATGAAACATCCAATCCAGGCTATCCACCTCACACAAGCTATTTTCTGCTCAGCCGGGACTCGTATTCTCGCCCGAACGACAGTTGTGACTATGGTACTCATCCGTGAGTCGAAAGAGTAGGCGCTAAGTTGGTTTGGGCTCACAGCGTACTACGCAGTAACTACATCGATTGGGGCAACTATCGCCTTGCTCGTTTGCTCCGGCGATCAGAGAGCCTCGTCGGTAGATGCATGGACAAAGTTCGAGAACAATACCGGATGGAGCAATAGTTAGTGTGCCATGTCTACAAATACGTTTCTGCGACTGACAATGTTCAGATGTCTGGGCTTTCATTCTCGCTTTTACATCACCAATGTGGTCATTGACAGGCTGTGAGTAGCGTAGTATACTTCGAGAAGCACATACCTAACCATGTCTATCCAGATGACTCTGCTGCGCATATCGCTGAGGAAACCGCAGGAGCTGCACGTGCAGCACCTATTGCAATTTTGGTTGGGGTCCTCGGAACCGAGATCCTGGGCTGGCTTTATTACATCGGTGCTTCTTATGCTACCAACTCGGTTCCAGACATCTTGCAGTCGAAATTAGCGCTTCCTCTTGGCCAAGTGTTTTTGAATGTCATGGGGAAGAAAGGCGCCCTGACCCTTTGGTGCTCTATCATAGTGTTGCAGGAAAGTGCGTTTACGACCAAGATCATGCTTGGATAACTGACTCCCGGACAGTACCTTTGCGGATGCTCACAAGCTGTCGATGCCTCACGTGTCATTTTCGCATTTTCTCGGGACAACGCTCTGCCTGGCTCGCGATGGTGGAAACGCATCAATCACACGACGGGGAGTCCGGTTAATGCTGTATGGTTTGCGATGGTGCTCTCTGCCATTTGTGGGACATTAGTATTTTCTACAGCAGCATTTAATTCATTGGCTTCGTACGTCGAGCGATCCTCTCAAGTCATTATACTAATATCGTTACTTTGAAGGGCGTCTGTAATAGGTTTATATATCTCATACGTGACGCCTATCTACTGTCGTGTCACCTGGGGAAAGGAAAAGCTACAGCCCGGTCCATTCAATCTCGGTTGGTGGTCTTTTCCGATCGGCTGGATAGGTATCTCCTGGGTAGCATTCATGGTCGTCATGCTGCTCTTTCCGTATACACAGACAGCAAATGTGCAAACCATGAGTGAGTGTTCTTTATAGTTACAAGATCTTGACTTATCACAAGATGTAGATTACTCGATAGTGATCGTCATGGCCGTCTTTATATTTGCTGGAGGGTCATGGATATTCTCCGCGAGACATTGGTTCACAGGACCCGTTCCGAACATCGACCGGCAGAGCGACTCATCGTCGTACTCGGAGAAACATAACACGGAGTCAAATAGTCCGAGGATATAATATATGTATTTGATAGACCTTGCATGAGGTTATTCGGCTACGTCCCTATACCTGTGTTATCTATGATAACGATGCTCCAACGAAGTTCGGAGCAACACAAACACCATCCTTGGTACGTATCCTGTGAACTGATTTGGTTACCGGGTTGATCCACGCTGCCTCCTTCGTATCTAGCGTCGTGAATCCTAAGATACCCGATCTATTAACATTCAAGATTCTGGAGAAAAATAATCTCCGCACCTGGTTGAATTGTCTCAAATATCTTTTTCTTGGGGTTCATTTGAGTCAATGGCTGGGCGTCTGAAATAAAGCAGTTTGAGCACACAGAGCGGAGACCTAGGAACATTTTCGCACTTTCGTAATCGGGGCCCTCAAAGTACACCCGGTCACCTGGCTTGCAACCTGGCGGAGGTTGGATAAGCTCAACGCCACCGTCCTTCCCATCTTTTGATGTTGCCTGGCCGATATCAGACAGAGATACGCCATTATATAATGAACCTACAGCTAGGACCATCGCAAAGCTCTTCACTCCACGCATGTTCGCGGGTTTCAAGTTGCACTACGTGGAAGGTCAACCATTTGGTTATGTCATTATAATAATGGTGACTCACGATGCAAACTAGGTACTTATCCCGCATTTCTTCGATAGGTATATAGTTCACGAGACCAGAAACAACTGTTCGTGGACCAGTCTCCTCACCGAGGTCGATTTGCTGATGAACATACGTTTATTATAATCAATCTTTACTATAGGGAAATAGCTTACCTCGATGTATAAACTGTCAGCCTCAGGGTGCTTTTTTACTGTCAAAATTGTTAATGAGTATTTTGAATTGTAAAGAAGGGACCAGCTCACCGTCAACAATGTGACCAATCCGCATATCAATCATTGAAGGCACAGGTTCACCGGCATCTTCAGCAACAGCCTTGCCGCCAGCAGAAGCAGGAGCTTTCTCTTTTTTCTTGCTTCCGCTTTCCGCAGCGGCCGCATCCTTCTTCTTTTCTTTCTTTTCTTTGGGTTTATCTTCGGGTGATTTATCCTCTTTTGATACCGCTACAGGTGTCGGTTCGGCCTGCTCCGCCACAGCTGCAGCCTTCTCTTTCTTCTTTGGCGCATCCACTTTCCTCTCAATTGGAGGGGCAGACGAGAAGTCAAAAGAAACAAGAGAAAATGGTGGAGACAGTGCACTTGCAGCAGCCAGTACAGATGGTCGTGTTTGAATGTGGTCAAAGTAACGCGTGACTGCAGGGTAGTCATAACCAGGTTGTAGCTGCGTCTGGAATTATGGGCATAAGTTTTGGAAAAAAAATAGATACTGTAATGATCACGAACAAAGATTGGGTGCAGTGCTCCATATAGAGCAACATCTGCTGCAGTAAGATAGTTGCTCACAATATATGTGCGAGGGACAAGTTGGGTCTCAAGATCCTGCAACAATACTGGCTCATCAGGTAATTTAGGCCAACTCCTTTATACGGCTTACTTGAAGAGCAACATTTTCTTCCGCAAGCTTCTCAATCCACTGCGCTACTTCAGCCTTGTCGGCTTCAGTCTTTCCGACATCTACTTGCGAAGTCACGACAAGATCCTTCAGTGAGGAAGGAAGTTTGGAAACAGAAGATTCGTAAGACATTTCTCGCGCCAATGGATGGGGTCGCGCGATTAATGGCGTTGACAATCGATGAGGAATCAGAAGATGGAATGATGATCGAGTCAAAGTATACATTGACATCTACTGATTGCACGTGACTCTGCCAAATATTCATTCATTATGTGAGCGGCGTACTTACTAGGATGACCAAATATAAATTTATTCATTCGAGTCACCTTATAGGATAATTCAAAATTGGCACTTACCCAAAGTCGTCTCCGAGTCCTTGACTCAAGAAAGAAAAATAGTTAATCAACCACCCGGTGGTTCAGCACTATCAGTACGTGGTGGTACGTGCCAGTTGAAACTTTGAAGATTTTGGTTAACATTTCAAAACTGGTGACCATTCCAGTCCTTTGATTCCTTTCGCCTGCAATATGACGCTTTGCTGTCCAAAAGTAACTCCAGACAGTTCTGTACTAGCCTCGAGAGCTCAAATAGAGATTGACGATGAAATTGTTGCCCTTGAAGAGAGAACGCGAGCTCTTCGCACGCGCCGAAACAGTCTCTCTCCCATATCCTCTATCCCTCCAGAGCTCCTTAGCGCAATTTTCGTCCATCATGCTCAGCAGACTCAGTTTCTTCATGATCCTGACAGCCCTGACGTTCTTTCATGGCTCATTGTCGGACACATTTGTCGCCATTGGCGCGGGGTTGCTCTCGGGACACCCGAGCTATGGGCCACCCCATTTCTCAACTCCTCAACAGCTACTGATGAAATGCTTACGAGGTCCAAAATGGCTCCATTGAACTTGAAAATCGGTCGGCGATATCGTATAGACGCCATCCAGAAGGCGTTGATGCACATAGAGCGTTTGCAAGTGGTCTCTCTTCTGTTCTTGCACGGTGATACTGCGGGACACCGTTGTATCATGGAATTTATTGACAAGCTATCATCATGCTCCGCTCCCAGACTAAAATCGCTTGCTTTAGACGTAGGGGATAAACAAACACCACAGATAGTAATCCCGATTTCTTTCTCCGCACCCAACCTTTGCAAGCTCCAAATAAAGCACTGTGATCTGTCATGGGCATCTTCCGTCCTCACAGGACTCACTGTCCTTCACATCAAAAAAGTATCACTGGAACGCCTTCCGACATTAGACGAGTTGGTCTCTGCGCTCCGTCGTATGCCTGCTCTGCATACCCTTACATTAGAAGATGCTCTCCCGACTCTTTCCCCCCATACGGTGTCGTTACCCCACAAATCTCATACCATGAATGTTCAACTTCTCCACTTGAAACAATTGCGTTTGACGGCAAAAATGTTGGAAGTGGCCAACATGCTAACTTGCATTGAATCGCCAACATCGGAAGTTGTTCGACTGGTATGCCGAGCATCCTCAGGAGATCCGAACCAAGAATGGAATTTGAGCCTCCCCGTCATCTCTCGTGCCTTGGAAAGTTGTTTCAAAGACACTCCAAATGACTTTCGACAAGTCCCTCGTTCCATGCAACTATCTTCCCCTAGTAGTTGCATTCGTTTGCATTATAGCACTGTCCGAAACCCTCTTTCGTGGGCGAGGGAAATGTCTTGTCATGATGCGGATCTGTCGGCGGAGTGCCCTGTCATTCTTGACTTTGACTTTCCCATTGAGATGAGGAGAACAATCCTCAGCGACTTGGGGAAGGTCGTTCCTCTTGGGAGTATCGAGGCTATGTACTGCGACTTTTTCTTCGCTTGCTGGGATGGCTTCTGGGCTGATATTCTTACCCGTGGCGGTGCTCGTAATCTTGCATACATGTACTTACGAGGCCCAAACCAAGCTCTCGAAGAACTTCTCAAATCCCTGCGTTCACGGAAGCACAGTGTGTCGCGGTCCGTAGGCGGGCGTTCACAGCAGGAGCCCATTTTCTCCCCAGCACTCTCCCATCTTGTCTTTCACGACCTGGAGTTCGACTCCTCCGTCTCCAACTGGATGCGGCCTTCTGACTTCCTCGACGTGCTCATGGATCGCGTCAACGAAGGTCGAGGGTTAGAGCACCTTACGATCACTTCAACTTCGGGTATATTTGCCCGCGACGTGCAGTTGTTGCGAGAGGTGGTGGCCGATGTGAGCTGGGATGAATACGAAAGCGATGAAGAATACTTCACTGACACAGAGGATGATTATGATGGTGATTTCATTGATTACGAGGATTACAGTGACGGATATGTCTCCTGAAATGATTCCGTCGGGCAAGCACGGCAATTTAATTAAGTATGCTGGCGATTCATACATAGCAGCTGCATACGGAGCGTCAGATCTCATAGTTTACAGGTGCAGATCTTCACTGGAACGTGATAAAATTCGAGGGCGAGACAAACAACTCCTGTATCAACACTTACGAAAATGATCATCAAGTACTAATCATACTTCCCTTTACCATCTAATGCAAAATTGGTATCAACTTTCCTGAGTAAAAAATCGCCATATACAACGGATTTGTAGCTCTGTCCTTCGTTTGATGATTCTTTGTCTTGAGAAGGCACAAAACGCAGAGCTGCTGGAAGTGGGGCGATATTCGCGGTGAAGTTGGGCTCAAAGAAGAACGGTATTCTGTCGGTATGTCAGTAAACAAATACATCGCAGAGAATGGGAGGTTCGCACGAGACACTACACAAATCAATTAGAAATAGTTCAACAAAGAGCTGCGCAACACCTACCGATAATTTGATCCTCTGTGAACTACTCTGTGCAACGTGCTTTTGTACAATCCATTTGTCCAGATCTCCCACACTGAGTGATTGACATTAGCCAGTGAGGACGCTTGAAATACCAGCAACATACTCTCGCCGATATTGCAAACGACGCAATTGGGAACGGGATCTGCGTTTATCCACATCCCTTCCTCTGTACCATGCTCTGCTGGCAGGCCGTCCAAATCTGATGCTGTCGTGCCTGATTGTCGCAAGAACACTTGTAGAGCACTTCTAGTAGGATCGGCGTATAGGAAGCTTAGGGAATCGACGTCAGGGACATGATTGTTGAGCTTTTCATTCGTAGCTCACGTTAGGCAGCCATAGTCTCTGTTCATGCATGTGCATCAGCATATCTAGATATCAGAAAGCCAACAATATCTCACTTGTGTGCTCCACAGGAGAAACCATCGTCGTCAGTTGGAAGTGGAGGATAGCCTTTCATGTAGCTAAGTAGGGCCAATGTTTACGAACTTCAGCGAAATAATGCTCACCGATTATTCGCATTACCCAGAAGCTATCGTCTACTTGAGCTCGCAACTCCATCCATTCTTCTGTTGTCATCTTGAGTCCAACAGACATCCTACGAGAGTGCATATAGGGAAGAAAATACCATGGATTTAGCAAGAACGTACGCTTCCATAACAATGAGGCCAAGCTTCTTCATCTTCGCAATCCATTGCTCGTATTTATGCTCGAATCCAGGGATATCAGGCCATTGATTCTCTCCCCACAGTGGTTTAGATTTGTCTGGTTTCTCAACAGGCTTGTACAAATCGATTCCTTCGTGGTTATCCGCCTTGCCGTTGGTCACATTCTGCTTGAGTCTTTGGTATCCTAGATAAGAAGCTCAAGATTTTTTGGTTCGGAGACTGCTTAAACTGTGACATACCTCTAGCATTATCCTGGTGCTCCAGACCAATCTTATCCTTCTCTTCTTGTGGCAGTGCGAAGAACTCTCGGGCTAGTCGGGTCAAGTCCTCAGGTTCTGAGGGATCTATGAATTGCGAAATGTCTAGATAGAAGAACCCGTACTTGACACAGGCATTGTGTAGCGCGTCTGATGTGGACTGGCATTTCACCAGATCACGCTCAGTCTCGAGGTAAGGTGCGATGTCGATGATTGGGAGGCTTGCTAAAGTGTGTGTCATTGATCTGATAGCCTTGGGGTAAGGTTCAAAGAAGGTTCAAGTCAAGATACGAATGGCTGTGCCAAATAGTTTGTTGAAGATAAGATAAGGTTACATTAACGCGGATAAGTCTAAGTAGGCCAATCTACTTGCGTCGAATAGGAACAATTCAGCACATGCTACTGATACGATCCATTTTCTGGACGTGATTGCTGTGAGTAAATAGTACGCCCGGGATTCTGACTAGCAATTCCTCGACTAAACCCTCCATGTGCATCCTGCAGAAAGCCGCTGGCGGGGCCAGTGTAATGACCAGGCCAGTTGGGTGCAAACTCGTGAGGTGACCGTCCCGTGTCCTGGAGGCCTGAGGTTGGATGTCTCGGTGATGGAGCCGCCTGATATACACCTGTTTCATTGCCCACGTCACTCGACGCGTGCTCTTCCCCGGCATATCGATCCTCATGCGCAACTCTCGTGCTCCGGCTTCTTGACACAACACCATCCATCCCGTCTTCATTCCGTCTATGCTCTCTCTTAGAACTTCCATTTGCACTTGCACTTGACGTTTCTCTGCCATTAGCGACTGACGGTCTTGGCTTGGCTTTTGGCTTCCCATTTAAGTGGGGTGCAGATACTGTTATGAAAGGAGGTGACTGTCGGTGGGTGGTGGACATCGCTGGATTGGCCTCCAAGTCTTCCTTCTCCTTCATTGCCCGTCTGTCAAGTGCCTCTGCTAAGGATATCGGCTCAGGTATGGTGTCTGGAGCAATTGTGTTAGACGATACGAGACAGACGAATGACGTACAAACCTTGCAAGAACATGAACTCTTGATATTGTTGAGTGGAACACGCTGACGGGCAGTTATAGTCAAAAGTTAGAAAAGACACTTTCACTCACCCAAATCTGAGTAATTTACAGTCCCTCGACGCTTTGCTGCCGCCTGTCTGTGGCCAGCTTGGGCCATTCGTTTTATGAATTCCTCCTGCAAGTGAAAATGCAACGTTCAGATGCACTGCAAAACCGCCAAACAGGTTCCCTCACTGTTGCAACCGACAAAATGAACAGCGCCTCCTTCGACATCGTAATGCTGGCTGAAAAGTTACTTAACGCGAGCGCTGATTAAGATATTTTGTTCAACGTACTATCCGGTTGAACTATGTTCTCTACTCTGGAAGGAGGGAGTAGAGTTGTCCCGGGGACACGTTCCCCAAGCCGTCGTCCGCTCTTCTTCTGGTTAGCGGAGGCGCTTGCGGCGAGCTCGTCTTCGGGATCTGTGTCGGACTCCAGTTCATCCACCTCTGCTTCATTTTCGGAGTCCGTTGGTAAATCATAGACGCTAACGTTTGGGTTTGGAACGCTCAGCTCAGAGCATTGCCCATAAGGTTGCAAGGCAGAGGTGTGGGCAATTATGGAACTTGAAGGAGTAGCGTAGTATGCTGCCATCACCGGGAGGCCTGGTGAAATTTGGTTCGGAGTGGACCCAGGTCACGCAGTATTGTTGTAGCTGACCGCTTCGGGTGCAGAGCGGAGGAAGAACACTTTGCATGTGTCCAACATGTGCCAGTGGGCATCACACAACTTACAAGGCTTGGCTATAACTTACATTTTCTTTCTCAAGCGCTCTCAGCCGACCACCGATCGATTTACCTCAACGACCACGCAGAAAGCTTGATAATCACTGGTACAAGTTGTGCTGCACAAGAGTAGATTCCATGAAATTAGGGTCCTCAGACATAGTACTCGTCCGAAGATTTAATTTCATTCAGGTTGTTGAAGTGGGTCATGGGGGCCTGTGTCGTTGCCCTTACGCCTTATTGTTTGACTGAAAGGTATAGTGGTATGTATCTTCTCTTGCATAGTAGAATGGGGACGATGGCACAGCCTCACCCTCGCGTGGCGCTGAGTCACGTGGCCTCGCTTGCCCCTAAATCGAGACCTTCCTGCTCTCACATTCTAGCACAAACTCATTCTTTCTACCTGCCTCAATTTTGAGACTTGAACGTTAAGTTGACACATTGACACCAGCCTGTAAACGAATGGTCGTCATGCCTATTCCCTCGGTGCACACAAAACATGCCAGGATTAAGCAAGTTGGGGGCCGGCATCAGCACTAGGTTACAAAACTACATTGTATAAAAGCTAGAGCAAGCACCAAAGTCAGGACTCAGCGAGAGTGAAAAAAACGTCGTGTTCAGTCCTTAGACTGAGTGAGGACTAAGTACTAAGCTCTGCAACTTATAAGTACAAGTACATACAAGTCAAACACCAAGGCGAAGTATACAAGCGAACACCAGACGGTAATCGTGTGGGCTGAGTGACGAAGGTAGATCATTGAAAAAGTGAGATAGGTAGTAGGAACACCAAATGCCAATATTGTGCAGGTGAGAATAAACGTCTGCCATACTAATGCCAATCAGTAGTTGTAAAAAATCACTCGATGGGAACCTTGATACTCTCTTGATCCTCAGCCTTTGAGACGATCATGGTGAGGATGCCATCCTGGAGCTTTGCAGACACTTTGGAGCTGTCAATGGGACGAGGCAGCCAGACGGTGCGAATAAAGGTCGCGCTGCCCGGATATCGGCGCTCCATGGCAAGTTGCGTGCCTGTCTCAGTCTTTGCCACGGCTCCTGAGAGGATGCGTCAATCATAGTTCGGTGTGTGAAGGAAATTCGCCAACCTTCAGCTGAGTTCTTGCCAGTTGTTTCAGCGGTAGTGTCTGATTCTCCATTGGTTTGGCGAGAGGAGGTTTTACCTTGGATGGTGACACTACGGCCAGCATCACCCACCCTGATATCAATGTTCTCCTTTTTAACACCAGGAAGGTCAGCTTCTATAATGTATTTGTCTCCTTCCTCTGTTACGTCAACTGGAGGACGTATGGCAGCAGGAGACAGGAAGAAGGGGTCATCAAAAAGAGACCGCTGTTGGTACATGGATCCTACAGCGGACCTTCCAAAAGGTTCCTCCAGCATCCGAAAGAAAGGGCGGATCTCGTGTAGAAGTTGTCGAGCGATAGACATGATGGTGTTTAAGCAAAACGAGTCACCTCCTGCGGCGTAGCCTATATGTAAGAACTTGCAAACGCGTCATAGGTCACATAAATATGAATGAGTGTCCGGGGTCCCCAACACATTGTTGCAAAGTCAGACTAAACCCGATCTCCATTGGTCTAGCAGACTGCCTAGGAACATCATGGACATTCAAGAGATCATGGTAAATAGAGATACTTAATGCCAAGACATGTGATATAGTCATGATTTGGGCCACTCAACAACCCACTGTGCAGCAACAGAATGTTCTTGGTCGTCATCATCTTCAAACTTGAGCTGGTAGTACGATGCAATGGTCTTCGTGGTCATACCCTAAATTAAATGAGTCACGTAAACGCGGTAAAAGTTTGACTATCTTACGCGTCCTGGTACGTCTCTCGGGGGGGATATGACCTCAGCTCTGTAAAAGCAGCTCGTGTCTGGATAGAGCGCCATGACAGTCGAACCAGCAGGGAATTCTTGATACGCATTCAGATGCGCGGCACTTGTTGGAGAGGCGTTCGGATCCGGTAGTGGTATAATGGCTCGAAGGGTTGTGTTATAGCATCTGAGGATGGTGTTTGATATCAAGTGGTCTATTCCGTATGATGATAATGGAAAATGAATACTTACTGTCCAGGCTGTCCGTCTTCTTGAGGTTCAACGTCTTGCACTTCATACCTAATAAATAATAAGGCTTAGAAGAACACCCCCAAAAAATGTGCCCCACCGATTCTTATCCTGATTTATACACTTTGTGATAACAGCCAAGATCCATGTTTCATCAGCGTCAGGCGTGCTACCGTCAGCTGCCTTTCCCGCAGGTGGATGGAACGCAACTTTTCGCCCTTCTTGTAATGGCAGCTGCTTCGCAAGAGCTTCTCTGCGAGCCTTTGGCTCTCTCGAAAATGGGATAGCAGGAGAAGGGCCTGTCGAGCTCCGCGAAGACGTTACTTGTGTTGTCATAGGCCGCGTGGCAGACATCAGGGGTGGCGTAACTGACGTGGCTGTGGCAGTACTAGGTGACGGTGGCCTTGGGCGCTTGTTTCGCTTCTCTGAATAAAATATGCTTGGCTGAGCAAGAGTCTAAAGATTAGGGTAAAATCACAATATTACCTTGTGAAGGCACCTCTGGTGCTTTTCGAAGGGCTATCAAAACGTCGAGTTTTTCGATAACATTATCGATAGCCCTGGAAAAAATATGTGATACTTTACAGGGAGGCTAAGAAATCAGCGTACTTGATTTCCTCTTCATTAATGTGTTGAACATCTTTCAAGGCTGAAGACAGCCGTTTGTAATTGGTTTTCAAGTGATCATACCCTTCAGCCGGAAGGACGTCATCAGTGGGCCACGCGGAGATTAGTCTGTTGACGCGCCCGATAGTTGCAAGGCTGCTAGGGTCGGCATAAATATTGGAGAATGATACCAATGACTTAGATGCTTGCGACCAGCATTCTACCTCTGATGCTAAGTGAGCAGTCCGCACCGTTCGGGTTGTCTGAGGGCGATGAATTGAGCGTGAGAACATACCTTCCTGAGGTCGCGGTGGTACACGCCTTCTATCCATTCTTGTTGACTTTAGCTATATGAGGTGCAGAAAATAGTTGTTAGCGAGTATTTCTAGGTGAGTTTATGTACGAAGTGGAACGAAAGACTGTGAAAACGTGGATGTCGGTCTTGGAGTTGAATACAAACAGTTGTCGCGGAGTCTACTCCTAGCAATGACCGAGGGCCCCCGCCACCCTATCATCACGTCAATTTCGAATCTCTTAGTGGGTTCGGGTCAAGTCATCTACTAGTACAATTTCTACCGGAGTATCCAAATATTGATATTGCAAACACAACATTGTCGAACGTTGTTACATTAAAATTGTTTTAGATTTGATGTCCTCCCTGTGGAGGAGGTGCCAATTTCCGGAGCGAGACATCGTATACCACTGAACAAAAGGTAGTCAAAGACTGTGACATACAGCCCGCACACGGTGTGAGCCCACCTTCTTCTATTTTCTTGAGATCATATTTCAGACTATCAAAACGTCGCCGGAGCGTGTCATTCTTTAGATTCAGCTGGACACCATCAAATTCATTGGAGCTATTTCCAGTTATACACTTGAAACTAACCATCGAAAATCCGGCGAATAGATCTTTCACAAAGATAGATATCTGAATAGGTGCTTCAAAGTTCCCAAGGGTCACTGCGTTTACAGCGAGACGAGACTATACAGAATAATGATGAGTGAGTTGAACGTATCGTGAGGGTAAAAAATCGCCAAAGCTATCGGAGAAGGCTGTTGCAAGAAAACAACAACAGAATTCATTCAAATTAACATGATCTGACTTACCAACTCGTTGACAAGGCTTATCAGACCGTGAAGATAATCTTCGACGGGCAGTGCAAATCGGCCCTTCCATTCATCTTTGACTGGAATCCGGGACAGAATAGTTACTATGCACATACCACAGATAGGACAACAATGCTTACTCCCTAGAATCTGGCAGACTTCTGGCAGGGAAATGAGTTTCCCTGTTGCAAGAAATTCGACCAAGGCAGCTGAAAAGATGGCAGTGCGCAAAGAGTTGGTCCACATTTCCTTCCATCGCCAGAACTGGCTAGGGGGAATGAGTGCAGCCATTGCAGCACTGGTGGTCTGACAACTGTGCAACATTGGGCGCACACTATCAAGTAGACCTGGAACTAAGATAGGCATTGGCAATCAGCCGAAAGAGTTAGCAATGGCAGAACTTGACTCGGGAGGTGTCGAATGGATCTTATTGAGAACCCCGACCATGTTGCGAGTCTTCTTATCCAGATCCGTCACTTGCTCCTTGATTTTCTAGAAGGGGGAAGTTTTGGAGGTCAGCGGTGATCAGCGAGTTCCCATATTATTATAAAAATTAAATGTGTACCTCTCGCAGTTCTACATCCTGCTCCAAGAGTTCGTTAAGACGTTCTACATTGCAAGAATCCATATTGTGATGATGAGGCGCCCACGAGTTATTGTACTGAGAAGACCTTAACACCGTCTGGTTGAGATCATATCGGCTTATTACTGAGCTGCAAATACATATGTAGTGCTCGTGACTTGAACCGCTTTTGGTTGCTGCTTTCCTTCAGAAACTTTAACTACCAACCTGAACGCTGAACTTCGTTCATGACATCCGATGTCGAACTCTCCAAAGTCAAGACGTTACTTACTTCAGTTCGCGACACGCCCGTGAATACGGTCGATGGAGCAGAAGATATTCTTCAGCCGTTATATTTATATTTGATGAATATTCCATCATCCGCACCCGATAATACCTACCACTGGTTTTGCAGTCGCGCCAACCAGCTCACCATTGGCGCTGCTACCTTTCTACTAAGGCTCTTTGCATACGACAGTCCTAGAGTGGATGATTGGAAAAGAAGGTTGAAGTCTTGTCTCTCAGGATGCTGTCAGTGTATCAGAGGGTTTGGGGAAGTGAAGGCTAGCTCTCGGACAACGTGAGTGTCCTAACAAGACAGTACTTAGAATGCGTTTTTTCAACTGACCATCCCGCAGTTATTTCGGCGCATTCTCTGATGATGTGCTCAGATCATTCTATAGCAAGTTCGATGACTGGGAACTATCGGTGGTCGTAGAGGCTCTCGTACGCACTGGAATAGACCTGTCCAGCTCTAGATTGGCTTCTCGGACACCTCAAGAAGTGCCTCAACCTCTGTTATACCACATGGTCTCAAATATGCGCGTCTTTCGCGACCCTCGGGTCTTACCCCTCATTCGTACCTGCCCGCCCATCTCAATCTGGCCACTGGATCCGCCTCCTCCTGGTTTGTTTGTACTCGTAATGGATGAATCCTCTGCCGTTAGACAGTGGGCGAAGGCTCAAATCGCCAAGAGCACCCAGGTCCCAATGTTAGAACACCAGTTTGTTGCTGGACATGAATTGGCACTCCAGGCGGTCACAAGGGCTTTGACACTGTCTCGCGAAGGCGAAGGAACGACAACAGACAGTGTCATATTGAACTCATTCTCCTCCGACTCGAGCGAACTTTGGGCTGGATTCAGCCACATTCTGCGACATCTCCCAACAGAAGTTCTTGCAAAATCATCTGAAGAAATTGGATATCGAAGAATCGTGACAGGCCATCTACACGACATTGGGCGACGTGAGTTGATTTCGTTTGTTGGATTGATTGCCCAGTAAATGTGGAATTAGATTTTTCTGATATCTTAAAGTGTCTACTCTTCTTGCTCAAGCGTTTAGGAAATAAGTTATGGCAAGGCGAGGGTCCAGAGTATCCCCAGGTCGTTTTCGATGCAATCAAGGACAATCCTTCCTTCAGTAATATGCTACAGGATCTCAAGTCGGCAGGCGAAAAACCATGGTTCTTGTCGTGGTTCGGGGAGTATCTTGCAACAATATCCGATTCTGCCATATATAGGGACGTTCTAGCAAGAATCGTGGATTTTCTTTGTGAAGAATTGCAGCATGAACGGTTCCAGGAAGCACGTCCAGCGATCATGTATTCCGCTGTTCGAGTTAGTGCTTTCATCTTCCTACCCGACGTTATACTGAATGTTCCTAGTTACTAGCCGCTCAGGTGCGGAAAACTCAGTCTGACGAGACGTTGTCACGTCGCATGGCAGTTTCAAGTGTACTCGACATTCATGCAGAGGTTTTCATTTCGGTGGCTTTTGGTCGCTTGCACGCAAATCCGCAGTGGAAAGAAGTTCGCAGCGCTGCTCGTGAGCTCATCACGACGTCTTTGACTCAGGACGCCAATGAAATTTCCAAATCTATCACAACCTCCTGCGAGTTCTTGGCAGGACGCACGAAGGTGTTCCCCGTCTGTGCTATTAGAGAACAAATGTGGAAGAAGACATACGAGTCTCTACAGACAAATGACACAGATGGCGTCATCGCCATCATTGCCATCATTGCCCAGTTCTCTCATATCGACTTCTTGAACAAAGTCGCGTACAGACTCGTTCTTTCGAGTCCAAATGCCCAAGCTTTTGATGCCATCAATCGATGCCTCGATATTTCTCGAAGCGGATTTCT